TGTTTTACGGTATACACAATTTCACATCGACCTCCCTATCTAGATTTTAATGCATATATATTTGGCATACACGTACACATCGTCCCTCTCCACGAAAACCTAGCCGCATTTTTATTCGCAAAAGAAAGAAGGAGGAATCTTGAGAGCTTTGTGAGAAAGAGAGAAGGAAAAGTGAAGGAGAAGAGAGAAGAGTTTCTCGTGTAAGAAAAAGGAGAGAGAGGTGTTAGAGGGAAAGAAAGAGACGTACCCGAAGAAATGGAGTCGCCGTCTCCGTTCACCGACGCCACCTCTGTCGCGCCATCGATCCACGTTGCTCCAAAGACGACCTTTATCACCACTGGTTCTTGAGTGTGATCGCTGTTGAGCTCGTCTGAGAGATCCACGCCGAGCAAGCACCTTGCTTGTTGCGCAAGTAAACGAGAGCACCACCGTATCACCTCTGGCCCGATCTGTATCCCTGCCGACGTCACTGCTCCAGGTCGCCATGGTTTCTCCTAAGTCGTCATTGTGGTAAGCAACTCGTGCTACCTTCGTCGTCACTGAGGCCGTGTTGTTTCCCCGAGAATTGTTAAACCTCCGCTGTTGCTTGAAGCCTAAGGTTCTGTTGATAATTGTTGCTTCAGCTCCAAGCATCCTCTCTCCACTTAGCATTGTCGTCCTGTGAGTTTGTTGTCATCCAAGATGAGATATGTTATGACCCATTGGTTCTTGTTTGGCCGACGGTAACGTGTACGTAGGAAATGTGTCATGTTGTCGTGCACCAAGGAAGAGTGTGATCGCCAGTGTACAAGGGATGTTAAAAAGTCGCGCGAGGACCTTCAGGCCCTAGAATACAAGATCAGAAGCTAAAGAGCACACCTGGCGCTGAGAAACAGACTAAAAGAGAACTCTTCTTTGATGCTCTTCGCCAAGAACTCGAGTAACAACATTCTTTCTCTACTTTCTCCTCTTACATTGATTTTGGTTTAAGTAGTTGTATACATATTCAAAAACCTCTGCTTTATTGAATCTCTGTTTTACTTGCAAACACTGAGCATATATAGCACAGTTCTACTTCACATTCTTAGCTATAGGCTCTACTTTAGGTAAGTTCTGTGTTTGATTAAGGCCTTGAATGGAAACCCAGAACAAATACAGATCAGATCAAATACAGATTGATCTGTATTTCATAGCCAATCACACTTTTATTTACAGATCAAGAAAATACAGATCACTCTGCATGCAGATCAATATTTTTGTCTTTTTGTGATATTTTTCTGATCTGCAGAGAAGGAGCTGAAAGCCTCCTGAACACATGCAGACCTATCTTTTTATTATATTATATTTATTTACTTTTAATTTCTTAATTACTTATAAATGCTATAAAAATTAATTTATTATTTACTTTTATACAAATAAATCCACAAAACCTGTGTTAAATTAAAACTAGCCTAGAAACCTTTGTTACATGTGCATAACTATTTTTCAAGTAACTATTTCTAAAAATTGTTATAAATATTGGGTTTTCTAATTATTATTTCTTTATATATATGAAAATTAAATCTATAAGATTCTTAGTAGCTTAAGGTATGTTGTGTAATATATATATTATTTTGTGAATTTTTTTTTTGTATTAACTATCTTTCAATAAATAATTAAATAATGAACATAACAATTTTTATATCTAAAAATTAAATATATTCACTTTACATATTCATATTTTTTATATAATAGGTTTTTTTTTACAATCACTAATTATGTATATTTATATATATATATATATCATTATAATTATATTACAAACATAACAATTCAAAATTTAAATTTCTTGAGTTTCATGTTTCTTTTATGATAAAGAGATTCATATAAGTTAGTACAATGGATTCATAAATGCAAAAATATATTTGATTTTTATATACTCCCTCTGTTTCACAATATAAGGGGTTTTGGAGTTTTTCTTTTGTTTCATAATATAAGAGGTTTTCAAATTTTTGTGCAAAAACTAAAACCCCTTATATAATGAAACAGAGGGAGTATATGACTAAAGATTTTAAATATTTTGGGGTATTTTTGTTTACTTATATATAAATATAACCTATATTTATAGCTTATAAATTACAATTCTAACTATATGTATTTATTTATTTCAAAACTATATACAAAATTTTTATGGTTAACATTAGGGAACATATTGCAAGTACATTATGAACTGACTAAAACATTTCACATTAATTTTTTGAAATAATTTTTTTGTATATTGTAATCAAATTTAAATTTAAGATAATGTTTCAGTTTTTAAATTTCTTGTTTTTAAGAAAATTTTCAATATATATATATACATATATATTAAGAAAACTTTATATATTATATATATATTTGAAAATTTTCTTTGTTTTTTAATTGTCCAATTAAATATGATATTTTATAATTATTTAATATATTTGATATGCATTTGATCTGTATTTGTTCAGCATGATCTGGATTTACTGTTTGATCTACAAAATCATTGAATTTTAGGGAAAAATAAAATCGTAAAGTAACAAATGAGACCTTCAACCTATATTTCTCTCGAGACTGTCCAATGAGAAATAAGCACCAGTGGGACCCTTGGCCAGCAAAGACGAGTGGGTCCCATGTTCGACTACATTCCCTCTGTGATCGCAACGCTCGTCCTCCCGACCATCACTCGCTCTAGCGCGTCTTGCACCACGCGCTCCGACTGGCTGTCCAATGCACTCGTCGCTTCATTCAGCGATCCTCTGTTTTTGCCCACCGGACAACTGTGCACCTCTGTCCCCACACTCCACAGTACGTATCGTAACCGTTGGATAATTTCGTGATTAAATCGTGAGCGTTCGCTGCTTTCTTCGTTGATCTCCGACTCGTCGGACCCTCCTCCTCCTCCTCCTCCTCCTCCGTACATGATGTTCTCTCGTCCGTTCCGGCGAATAATGTTGGCTCTTGCCTCTTTGCTAACCAAAGCTATGTGTTGACGTAGTGATCTCAGATGATACGACTTTACATCACGGCCGTCGATTTTCACAATGCCTTTTAACGGGTCCTACAACCGTTCGATCAACCAATTATCGTTGACTTATCTGACCTACTGGGACCCACAATGGAAAAGTCTTTGAATACTACCACGTTTATACTCTTTTCTTGGAAAAGAAATCGAGTAAAAATGTTTGAACAACTTCCAAAAAATACTTTGTGAGAAAATTAATGGAGAGTCTCACTGAATCGTCGTGAGATTTTTTCAGTCGAGGGCCAAATTAGAAAATTAGGGGACGAATCCGCAAACAAATAAGGTTTATAAAAAAATATCAGTGTCATTTTAATAGTTTTGAGAAAATAAGAGGGTTTCTTTAGTAAATTATTACTTTTATGAGTCTTTTATAAAAGAGAGAAAAGTAGAAACTCAAAGGACCATTTTCTGCTCTCCACTCGTCGATCCAGGTTCTTCTCTCTCTCTCTCTCACTGTTTCGATTTTGGTGAATCTGAGTTTTTTCTAATTAGGGTTCTGGTGATGTCGAATTGTGTGTGGTTCATGCAGAATCTTATGATGGTGACTCCGAAACGGGTAAAATTCGCTTCGTCTGGTGACGGTGATGTCACTGTCTTGGAGGCCAGAAGCTTGGCTCAATCCCTGCAGAAGTAGAAGAGCGAAACAAGACGAAGAAGACAAAGAAGAAGAAGAAGAAGAAGAAGAAGAAGAAGAGCGAACCGATCATCTGGAGCGCGAGAAGGAAGAGGTTCTGCTACTAAAGGTTTAATCATTGTTTATACTCTGTATTAAAGGTTTAAACTTTTTTGCATTCTAAGTCTGACTCTTCTCTTTTGGGGTTTAATTTAGGGTTTAGTGGAGCACGGGGCTAAAAATCCAGACTTTGATTGGGATAAGTTTTTGAGTTACGCTCAAGGCTCTGGTAAAGAAAAGCTCACGGAAGATGAAATGAGAAGCAAAATCGGAGAGCTTCAAAGGAAGTATCTTTGTCAGAGGAAGTGTCTTGAGCAAGGACAAGAACATCTCTTTGTCTTCACTAGGACTATGATTCTGAAGCTTTTGGGCATGCAGACTTCCTCTGGAGCCATATTGATGAATCGCAGGACCAGAAAGGTGGCTCCGTAAGTGAAAGTTTCAACAATATTATTTGTCAACTCTTGATTCGTTGATCTTTATTTTTTTGATGGATTGATTTCAACAATATGATCAGGAGGAGACTATGAGTGCCTTAAACGAAAATGGAGCTGAGCAGACAGAGGAGGGCAGGACCGTTGGAGAAGAGAGCCGTGAAGACGATGGTGATGATGAGAAAGCGGTAAGTGATTTATAAGCTATTTCGATTCTGTTTTTTTTTTTTTTTTTTTTTTGGAATCAATTTGGAGTTACTTGATTTATAGTCTTAAAACCTCAGCGAAGCTGAAACTGTGGTTGTGAGTAGAAAACCAATAATTTCGTTTGATTTGCATACCATTATGTGCTTTGATTTGATGTGATGTTGTTTTGTTGCTTGGTAATAAAAAAGGTCACTGGAGAAGTGGGAAAGAAGAGGGTCGATGCTGTGATGATTGATAAAACCCCACTGGTCATCATTACCCCACAAGTAACACCGATAGGTGAATCATCTGTTTCTTTTTTCTTTTACTTCCTTGTTTGTAATTTACGCATATATATAATGTCAATCAATGTTGTGTAGCAAGAGGATCTGTTTCACCTGTAACAAAAGGAAATAAATCCTCTGAAAATGGTTTGGGAAATGATTCAACTCCACCCAAGGTAAAGTTTAGTCTTTTTCGTTAGAAACATTAGTCAATTCTCGCTTATTAATTTATGTAAATGATGGTTTTACACTCTTTATGCAGTTGCCTGAAGTGGAGAATAGCCAAGATGAGAGTAGAAAAAGGAAAAGAGGAGAAAAACTGAATGAAACTGGTACGTCTAAATCTTTATGCACTAACCATATTACTTTTGTTTGACATCTTTCTGTCTTGTCAAATCTTAATAATCATAAAATTTACAACGTGATGATGCTTGCAGCTTTGCCTTTTGAAAAGAACAAGTCTCCGTATTGGAAGACATTGGGGAGTCGCAAATCCATACCTCACTTTAGGCCATTGCTCGAAGCTAGAGAAGATATCCGTGAGTGGGCAGCGGTTGGAATGATGGTGAGCTATTACGGTTTACTAGAGCAAGTCAGAGACCTGAAACCGAATGATTCCACAAGCACATTCGACAGACTGTGTGTTTCCTTTGCCGAGCTAGGGAAGCATGGTTTTGACATTGCAGAGCCTCAGTCACGGATCGTGAAGGTGTTGTCACTCAAAGATGGGCTTGCAAAGAAAGCCGAGGAAAGGAACAAGCTTGAAGAGGCAGCGAGGGAGAAGCGCAAGGCAGAAGAAGAAATGGCTGAGTTACAACGGGAGATCCTTGAGCTGCAGAGACGAGGTGCGATTGCGCAAGAGGAGAAGAAAGCTGCTGAGAAAATGATGCTTGAAATGAAATCAAACGCAGAGACGATTGAGCGAGAGATTGAAGAAATGGAGGTTGAGTTTAATGAAACTTTGTTGGCTCCATGGTAGATTGAATTAGCGTTAGCTCTCTTATAATGGAAGGGGTCAGTGATTTATAATGAAGTTTCTTTGTCAAGTCTTGTTTGGAATCAGATTGCAGCTGCTTGATCTTTATTGTTTGGTTTGATGATAATTATGGTTTGGTTTGGTGCTTTGTATCAGTGGATGATGAGATGTTTCTAATTAGCTTTGGTCAAATCATAGTGGCTTTTGAAATATTTGGACCGGTCTATGAAGTTGCTTGTTTTGATCAAAATTGTTTGATGAATCAGGAGACGTTGAATGCCGATGAGCAAGCAGTTAACGCAAGTGAGCCCCTAACCGGAAATGGATGATGATGAGTTTTGTGGTGTGCGGGATGCACTTGAGACTGTGGTGCTGAAAGGTTTAAGTGAAAACCAGAAGAAGATTCATCTTGAGAAGATGATGAAGAACATTGGGGATGTGCAAAGAAGAGAGCTGAGCGATGAGTGGAAAGTTTTATGCTCCGAGGAAGCAAGACTTATGTCAAGAAGCTTAAGTTTACGGCTAAGTTTGCAGAGGCTGCAAACGATGGATGAGAACAAGAAAGCAATAGCAAGCATTTTGGTGATGTGAATGATCTTTTTGGAGAAAATTAGATGTGGTTTGTTAATTAAGGTTTAAGGGAATGATCTTTTTGTGAAATAGTGTTTGTAACACATTTGCTTTGATATTTCTGTGTGTATGGTATTAAGTTTCTTAGTCAAGCAAACTCTCAGCAATATTAGATTCTGAAACCAAAACAATCAAAGAGAATGGTAACTAAACCTGATTCATTTCACCCTTAGGATCACTCAAGTAATACTCGAGCTGTTGGCTTAGAACTCTTGAGAATTCATTATTCATAGCATTAAGCTTTGGCCGAATAAACAAATGTCCAAAACTACAAAAATATCAGTTGAACAAAAACAAATCAGCAGTATAATAGTATAATAAATCTCTGTATCAAGAATATCAATATCAACATGACTACACAAATATGTATCTAACAAACAAGTCTATTTTCTAAAGTAGTTTCATATATTCAAATATGGTATCTTGGTAACTTAATTAACTCTTGAATATATATGGAATCTTAGTAAGTATTTATAGATTTAGGAATTTATGGTTATTTATAAATACAAGTCAACAAAATTTATTGGTCCATCCACATTTAATTTCTTCCTACATCATATTGCTATTCAATTTTTTTTTTTGTATACTAATGGTAGGATGTTTGTAGAATAACTTAATTAACAGTTAAAAATTGTTTTGTAATTATCTTCGGACCTTATAAAAAAAATGAAGTCAAAGTTAATGAAGCTTAATTTGTTTCTCAAGTAAGTTTTAGTAAGGTATTGATGATGATACATTTTGCTGACTTTTGTATATTTTTTTGGTAATCTAATTATATATGAAGAATCTTGTTTAACCTATAAATACCTTCATATATCTTTCACATCAAATCATTCACAAAAATAAAGAAATAAAAATAATTAAAGTAACTTGTTCGCACTACCTTTCAGTAATATCAATAAGTCTCTGTGATTCATCAAACACTGGTATTATACTAACTAGGGATTATACATCCGCGCAAGTGCAGAGTTGTTTATTCGGTTAATCATTATTTACATTTTTTTAAAAAATATGTTTTTATTGTTTTTCTTTTGTTGGTCTGTATATAACTGAAGTTTTATAATAGATGCTGCAGTTGTTTTTATTTTAAATGTTTTATATAAGATTTTTCCAAAAATTCGACAATTATTTCTATGATTTGTTAGTATTTGTATGAATTCTTATTATCTTTCTAGTAATAAAAATGGTTGTTCAGTGAACTTATAACTTCCTCTAATCACAATTGACCTTCTAGTTTTCTAACAAATCGTCAAAGTTCTTATTAACATCATCCCAAGCTATATCCGCCTCTTAATTAACCACACTCAACTACCGGCTCAATCCCCTTTTAAACTGTGATCTTTTCCGTTTTTCATGCATCTTTGACAGCATATGTAGTTTTCTCTCCAACATTTTAGTGGTTATATATCATGTTTCTCTACTTTCAACTTTTCTTCATTCACAAATAGTACATTGTAACATATTGATTCTCTACCTAGTTCAAAACTATATATATTATTTTTTATCTTTATGTGATGATGACTTCAGAATTAAAATATAATGATTTGAGTTTGTAAGACTATCTTTAACATAAAATATGTTTTTTATTAACTGCATTATATTTTAGAACTTGTCATATGTATTTTTTTTTATTAAAAAATGAATATTTTTATTTCAATTATAAATATTTTCAATTTTTTATATACAGTGACCTATTATTGTTCTATATCCTTGTCAATTTGTAACTCTTAGAAAATCTATGTTGTTTTATTTATTAACTTTAACAGACTATTAGTTTTCTTATTTATAGTTATCTTTATATATTTTGAATTTTCAAGTTATGTAAGAAAATGTTTCTTAAATTTTATAAAATCTTCTAATATCTATTAATTTTCTTAGTTGGTGTTTTCATTATTTTTTGTGAAATATATTTTAGGCTTTGTGGTAAGTAATATATTTTATCTTAAGAGAATAAAATAATAGAAAAGTGTGTAAATTAATTGATTCATTAATTTAAGTTTTATTTTTTTTCATTTCTGATTTTTCATTTTTTCTTCTCTTGTATTTTATAATTTATGATTAAGTGTTGGACCCATAATTTCATAAAATTAGCCTGATGTGGATAGCTTTCGAGGAGAGAAAACTCTCCTATTATATACTCCCTCCGTTTCAAATTAGTTGTCGTTTTGGGAAAATGTATCTGCAATTATTTGGATGTATCTGCAATGCAAAATGTGTCCAGATACGTCCAAATATTTGCAGATACATTTTGCCAAAACGACAACTAATTTGAAACGGAGGGAGTATAAGATTATTAGCTTTTATGATCAACAATCAAGATTCCTTATTGCTTTCGATTTTATAAAATCTAGATTTAGATTTATTTTATCAAATTTATACATGTTTATTAATGTAACTGAATAAGTTTTTTTTTGTTTCTTGTAGCCACACGGTTTTGTGTTCTCGTGGCTTAAAGAGAGAAAGTTGGTAGTGAGTGAAGCGGGGTTGATCAATCACATAGAAAATATTTGGTGGCTTTATTGTGTTACAATCTTAGATAATAGATGGCGAGTGATGAAGTTGCTAATGCATATCCTGAAATTTTGGCATACGTGAGAAATTTTTTTATTGACTTTCTTTTATTTTCAGAAACATTTTTGTGTGATAATGTTTTTTCTTTTTTTACTGAGCAGTTGATACTTCAAAGAGCTATTTGTACGAAGAGTCATGGAAATCATGTGCTGGATCTTCACATGATTATCCAAAATTGGAGAAAAAGTTTATTACTTTCCTCAAGGACAACTAGAGCAAGTAAGGGCTCAATCTCTATATCTTCATTTTAATTTTCTCTTAAAAATTATATATATTTTTTTTGAAATAACATTATACAATTTAATGGCATCTTTAGTTAGAAGTGTCTACAAACCAAAAATGGATCATCTGATGCAATTTAATGTCGATCTTCCGTCGAAGATTCCATGTCATGTTAGTGGTTATCAACTTGAGGTAATGACCCATTATTTACACATGAGCTACATTTGCTTAGATTGCATATAATATTGGTTATATTGTTGCTGATTTTTGTATTCAATTTCAGGTGGACAAAGATACTGATGAAGTATACACCAAAATTACTTTGATGCCAGACTCCTCCATGGTGATGCCAAAATATTTATAAATTACTTGCACATTTTTTAATCCCTTTTAAATGATTTTATTTTTTAATTTGAAATATCTAGAAAACTGCAATTCCTATTCCCAATAATGTCAACCGTCGATTCCCAGTAGTTCGTTCTTTTACAAAGGTCCTAACTACATCAGATACAAACGGACATAGTGGATTATCTGTGCTGAGAAGACATGCAACTGAATGTCTTCCTCCGCTGGTATATGGACTTTTGTTTTTAACCGCAAAGAATGCTATTAATTCCCCTTGTATGTTCACTGTGGTCTATAAGCCAAGGTAAATAAAAACATTTTGTTATTTATAGATATAACATGAATTAGTTTCTTCAATATTGTGCTTACTATTATGGATCTTGATATGATATTAGGTCAAGCCAATTTGTCATCAGCTACGAAAAATATCTAGATGCTGTGAACAATAAGGTCAATGTTGGCTCGAGATTTAAAATGCATTTTGAGGGTGAAGATTTAACTGAAAGAAGGTAAACCATATGAACATATTTTCTTTTTGTTCTCTTTTCTTTTGTTTCTTATCTATTTTTATTATTTTATTATAAAAGATGCTTTGGGACAATTAAGGATGTCAAAGATTACTCCCCTAATTGGAATGATTCAAAATGGCGATCAGTTGAAGTAAAATTATCCTATCTCTATTTTTTTTTTTACTTTTTCCAATCATAATAAATAACAATATTCACCAACTCTATTTTACTAGGTACAATGGGAAGAACAAGCCGTAATTCCAAAATCTAACAAGATTTCACCTTGGGAAATCGAGGATTTATTGCCTTCAACAAGTGTTTTCCAATCAGCTTTGCTAAAAAACAAACGTCCCCGTCAAGATAATGAAATTGGTACAACACATCATAATCTTTTGTTAAATGAGTTAAAGCTTTGAAATCTTTCATATTTATAATTCTAAACTTCTTATGAAATCTTTTGCATTATAATTCTATTTATAGGTTCAACATCATTGAATCTATGGACTCCGACATTAACTCAAGGCCAAGAAATTGGACAATCGAGTAAGAGCTACCCAATAAGTGTTGCTCAGCTTAGTTATGATAACTCAACTGAAGATCCAAAGATTCCTTCTGGTTGGCTAATGAGCAGCTGCGAGGTCCCAACCATGCATAAACCAAAATACAACGACCAACTGTTATATCAGTGAAAGAAAATTTAGCCACTGATTTAACCACTAGTTGTAGATTGTTTGGAGTCAATTTGACGACTCCTTTGAAGACCAAAGATCTCTTGGGAGGAATTGACTCATACCAAAAATCTGAGATTTCCAAACTCTCTGAAGAAAAAAAGCATGAACAGAACCAAACTATAGCTTCATCAAAGGAGGTCCAAACCAAACAAATAATTAATTCACGAAGTCGTACCAAGGTAAGGGAAAATCAGCATGTTTTTACTGTTTACATACGACTCGATTATAGTATTGTGTTTTACTATATATATACAGCCGATGAAAAACTTAATTTACATTTACTATTATTTCATTTTTATATATAGTGGGAACTTTATTTTTTATAATTTTATACAAAACTTTCATACATTTACCAAATGCTATGTTCGGTTTACATGATCTTTATATTGTGTTTATTTAACAGGTGCAGATGCATGGTCTAAGTCTATGCAGAGCGATAGATTTAACTGTTCTTGATGGATACAATGCGTTGATGAAAGAATTGGACAAAATCTTTGATCTCAAAGGCGAGCTGTGTGCCGGCCATTTATGGGAAATAGTCTATATAGACAATGAAGGAGATATGATGCTCGTCGGGGACGATCCATGGCCGTAATTTCCCTTCTCTTTTCTTTCCCCTAATGACTAGCTAAAGTTTGGAAATGTGTATTTGACTTCAAGTTTTTGTGTAGTGAGTTCTGCAACATGGTGAAGAAACTAATTTTATGTTCAAAAGAGGAGGTTAAGAAAATGAAGTCAGCAAACGATTCTTCTGAAGGTGAATCAACTTTAAGAACGTTGATTTTTAATACATTATGACATACCACTAGATATCAAAACAAATATTTAGTTCTCCAACTAATTTTATATATTTCTTACTTATTGCTGATGTGATTTTTTTTTTTGGTTTTGTGTTATGTTTTAGGTGTTTAATTATGAGCAAGTTATGTCAAGAGAATAAGGGAAGATGGAAACAAAGATTTACAAATGTTTGAGTTATATCAATGGGAAAAAGAGAGTCAATAATGGAAGAGAAGTTTGGTAAAATGTATTTTTTGTGATGTTTTGTTTTTAAAAAAAATGTAACTTTTTTTGTGTTATGGGTGTTTGAGTGTCTTCTTTTGTCTCTTTTTTACAGTGTTTGTCGTTAATGTTGTATGTGTCTGTTGTTTCAAAAAAAAAATTGTATGTGTCTGTAATATGTATTCACCATTTCTAAATTATATTTAAAACTCCCCTTTTGTCGCATTACTATGCTTTCTTCTTTTATTATAGTATATTGTTGATTTTTTTCTAATTTATATTCAAGCATCTATTATCGTCTTTTGAAAATAAAAAAATCAAACAAATACAGTACTATGAACGAATTAATCGTTACTAATAAAATAAATTATTCGTTCATAAACTCATGCCTATTAGGTGATGTGCCTTTAGTTTTTGTTTTATTATTTTTTTCTTTTTAAATGAGAAAGAATGAGAGAGAATAAACCTTACTTGTAAATGATGTAATTTTTTGTTCCCCATCATTCTCATGGTCCCCATTGAAAGCCTACAATATTTTTGGCATTTTGAATCTCCATCTCCATGAACCACAAAAGTATATTTAGGTCAGGGAACAATACATTGGTTAGCCTAGTAAAGTCATCACCAACACAAGTTGGGTTTGATTTACTCAAACATCCAAGACTTTCTTCATGATCTCCGATGACTACATGCACTTGGTGAAAGTTGTTCATCTTCCTTAATTCTTCCAAGCACATACATTGTGACGTCAATGAATCAAAAATAGCATTAATTCCACAAAAATTGCATGTGTTGCTTATGTCCTTTGTGCTATACCAACGTATTACATATCATAAAAATTGCAAAAACCATAATATTTATACCACAGTAACAAATATGAGAAGTTTGAGAAATGTTAATTTGGATAATATTTGATTAAGTGCGTAATATGAAAATAAAATATCAAATATCTTCAGATTTATATAATTATAATAACTATATGTCAAATATTTTCAAAACAGCAAATTCATTTCATTCTTAATAAATTTACTTACATTTTCTTAAGTAAAACTCTATCATACATGATTACTATTATATTAGAGAAAACAATTCACAAGAAATAAAATAAATTAACAAAATAAGCATAATATAAGCAAAACATAATAAAAATGACAAAATAATTATATTTTGCTATTGTAGACTTTCTAACATATTCTCTTAATATGTATGTTACTTCATTTGATTTAATCATACTTGTTAACTTTGTATTTATCTGGCCCAAACCAGGTTCAACCGTGGATTATTTTACCAAAAAAATACCTAAGCATATCAAACCTAATAAAGAACTTTAAATAGTTTTAAAAAGTCAGAACCAAGTGAACCTGGAAAAATCGGTTGAATATTGATTGAACTTTGTAAAATGTAAACTTCAAGGATACCTCATGTCCAATAGTGTAATTGGTGGTGTCAGAGTCCAATCATTTCAAATTGACACTAATTCCGTATTAGTATAGCCCCAGGGCATTTGGCCGTACTAAATTATTTATTGATAAAGTTTATGGTAAATAGATCGATCTATGTAAAAGAAAAAAATCATTACCGCCTTGGTCTTCGGAGTAAATTTTGACATTGAAGAGATATGCTTCGTTCCAATTCAAACAGGCTGGCCTGTTACCAAGTATAACCGGGATGGCAACAAATGCTATACATGTGAAACTACTACATAAAGTTTGGCATTTTGAAACTCCATCTTCAGGAACCATTAATTTTGAAGATATTGGATTTATATCCGGCAAGACTTACAATTTTGAGGATCATGAGCATCATTGGCGTGATGGAGGCAGGCGGCTATAGTCACGCTAATCTGGGAGAGAAAATTATCGGTTTGGGAAGTACGGATGTAAGACTACTCACGCCTTTATTTGGGGTAAGTAGATATTAATAATCAGATTAACTAACTAACATAAGAACATACAAACTCTAACAACACTTTTTTCACGGTGAGTTTACTTAGTGGTTGAATACTGCATTTCTGACAAGACTATGTATGACATGGAACAATGCATTGAGGGTTAGCCTAAAAAGTCATCACCAGAACAAGTTAGGTTTGAATTCCTCAAACATCCAAGACTTTCTTCATGATCTCTATTGTCTATAGGCACATCGTGCAAGTTGTTCATCTGCCTTAATTCTTCCACAAATATCTATTAGAATATTCTCATATCTTCAAAATGTATACTTTCCTATTCACCGCATATTTACTTTTCTCTTAGGACGTTTAACCTAAATTCTTTGTATTATATAAACTCTTGTAAGATCAATAAGAAACGCAACCTTTTCTCTCAAGTTTAACATGGTATCAGAGCAAAATTGATCCAAACTTTGTCTCTTTCCTCTGTTTCAATTCTTATCTCTGTTTTTCTCTAAACTGTTCATCTCTCTCTCTTTTCCTCTCTCATGGCTCCTCCCGAAACTCCTAAATCAAACACTCCTCAATCAAATAAAGATGAGCCCTCCTCATCACCCTACTACCTTCATGCCTCAGATCATCCTCATCACGTCCTTTCACCAATTCTGTTGAATGGTGAGAATTATGAGCGATGGGCAAAACTTGGTCGTAATAATCTTCGAGCAAAACAAAAACTAGGTTTCATTGACGGCACTATTACTCGTCCCTCTTCAGACTCATCAGATCATGACAGATGGGTTACCGTCAACTCCATGTTAATTGGGTGGTTATACGCTAGTATAGAACCCAAAATTCATCATGCTGTTTCAGTTGTCGATGACGCTCGTGTTATGTGGGAAAGCCTGCGTACTAGATTCTCTGCAGGAAACGCTCCAAGAGTGCATCAGTTAAAAGCTGATTTGGTGGCTTGTCGTCAAGATGGACAAGCAATTGCATCTTACTTTGGAAGACTCAAAGTCATGTGGGATGACCTCGATGACTATGAGCCTGCTCTTGGGTGCTACTGCAGTAAATCAGATTGTGAAATTCTCATGAAACAGACTAAACGACGTGATCATGAGAGAATTCATCAATTTCTCATGGGATTGGACAAGTCTCGTTTTAGTACCACCCGCACAAATCTACTTGGTCGTCTCACCCGTGAGAAAGATCTCTCTCTCTCGATCAAATCTACTCGGAACTCATCTCTGAAGAACGTCATCTAACTGTCTCTCGCACTAAGGAGGAGCGAATTGATGCTGTGAACTTTGCCGTTCAATCTGGTGTAAACGCCATCGCATCAGTCACTCGAACTCGGAATAATCTCCTATGCACTCATTGTGGGCGCACCAATCACACCGTCGATACATGCTTTGAGAAACACGGCTACCCTGAATGGTTCACTGAATCAAACACTGAAGGAAGAGGTCGTGGTCGAGGCAGAGGACGTGGAAGGGGTCGTTCTGCTCCACCACCACCACGAGCTAATAATGCCCAACTAACCCCTGGTGCTGCTGACGTTCAAGGCATCCCTGGAGTTAGCAAAGAGACTTGGGAGGCCATTGTTGGTCTACTCAAGACAAATAAGTCAGGCCCTTCTTCTTCCGAGAAACTCTCTGGTAATGTTGATTTCTTACTTGACTCTGGAGCTTCACATCATATGACGGGTGATGTCGAACTTCTTACCGATCTACACGAAATTCCTCGTAGTATTATTGTGTTACCTAACAATAAACATTCATTTGCTACGAAGGAAGGTTCCCTCCATCTTGGAGGCAGTAACACTCTTCATCACGTGCTCTATGTGCCTGATTTATCATGCACACTTATCTCTCTAGCTCGTTTGCTCCGTGAGCTCTCATGTTATGCTATGTTCACTGACAAGTTTTGCGTTATACAGGACCGTTCTTCGAAGATGCCGATTGGAGCAGGTGAAGAAGAGAACGGGGTTTATCATTTTCGTGGAGTTGTTCCGGCTAGACTAAACAAGACTATGACAGTGGCTGAGACAGTTCTATGGCATCGGCGTTTGGGACACCCTAGCAAGAAAGTTTTGTCTACATTTCTATCTAGTCTAAAGGATTTTACTACTACAGATTTTCAGTTTAAGGAGCTTTGTGATATTTGCATTCAAGCAAAACAAACTCGTGATTCTTTTTCAGAAAGTTTTAATAAAGCAGTCGATTGTTTCTCTCTTATACATTGTGATGTTTGGGGACCATATCGCACTCCATCTACTTCTGGTGCTCATTACTTCCTTACCATAGTTGATGATCACTCTCGTGCTGTTTGGCTCCATTTACTACTCGCTAAAAGTGAAGTCTCGTCTATCCTAAAGAATTTCTTTGCAATGACTGAACGTCAATTTGGAAAGAAAGTAAAAACAGTGAGAAGTGACAATGGAACCGAATTCACATGTATGAAATCCTACTTTGCTACCAACGGTATCCTTCATCAAACTTCATGTGTCAACACACCACAGCAAAATGGACGTGCAGAGCGAAAGCATCATCACATATTAAATATAGCTCGGGCTCTTCTCTTCCAAAGCCATCTACCTACCAAGTTCTGGGGAGAAAGCATTCTTACTGCAGCTTATTTAATCAACCGAACTCCAACTCCAACTCTTGATGGTAAATCTCCCTACCAAGTTCTTTACAACAAAGATCCCGGAATTTCACATATTCGCATCTTTGGAAGCCTCTGTTATGCAAAACGTCAACCTGGCACAACAGATAAGTTTGATAAACGCAGCAAACGCTGTGTGTTCATCGGATATCCTCATGCACAAAAGGGTTGGCGAGTTCTTGACCTTGATACCGAAGAAATCTTTGTGTCACGAGATGTTATTTTTGATGAAACGTCATTTCCATTTGCATCTCATCTTTCTCCGGTCTCCGCTGATGATGTTTTTCGTGACACCACCTCCTCTCCGCCACGTATATTGGCTCTCGATGATGAATCTCATCTTCCCTCTGTTACAATTGATCTTGACAGGGGGAGCGATGAACCAGAAGAAGCACATACTGTCTTACCGGACTCTGATTCTGCTGCAACAACACAAGTTGTAACCGAAACTGAATCATCTCCTCACGCAGCAGTTGAAGAGCAACTGGGTCGAGGGTTTCGTAAGAGTAAACCTCCTCTACGCCTAAATGACTACGTCACCTATTCTGCTCAACGCGAAAATGATAACCCTGCTCTCGTCTCTCCTAACTCCAATTCGGTGTCTTCTGGTACGTGTTCTTATCCTCTCGCTAACTATGTCTCTTGTGAACGTATTTCAAGCAGCCACACTGCATTTATTGCGGCAATTACTCTAGGCGAAGAACCACTGTATTTTAAAGATGCGATAGAATTCAAAGTATGGAGAAAGGCAATGGGATATGAGATTGAAGCGCTTGAAGAAAATCAAACGTGGACGTTAGAAAAACTGCCCCCAGGGAAGAAAGCTCTTGCCTCTAAATGGGTATATCGAATCAAATACAATTCTGACGGGTCCATTGAACGTCATAAAGCACATTTGGTTGTTATGGGAAATTTTCTGGAAGAAGGCATTGATTATGATGAAACGTTTGCTCCCGTTGTCAAGATGAATACAATTCGGATTTTACTAGGAGTCGCCTCTGCAAAGAATTGGGAACTCCATCAGATGGATGTCCATAATGCATTTCTTCATGGTGATCTAGAAGAAGAAATTTACATGAAACCACCACCAGGGTTTCATCCATCAGATCCATCTCTCGTATGTAAACTTCGTAAATCCCTCTATGGTTTGCGTCAAGCACCTCGTTGTTGGTTTTCCAAGCTTTCAAAAGCCTTGCTTGACTATGGTTTTGTTCAATGTCGAAAAGATTACTCACTTTTCACTCGAGTCCGTGGATCTACCGTGCTTCATATCCTCGTCTACGTCGATGATTTGGTGATTCTTGGTAATGATTCTTCTGTCATCTCTCAGTTCAAAGATTATCTCCATACATGCTTTCGCATGAAAGATTTGGGAGTTCTCAAATATTTTTTGGGAATTGAAGTGGCTCGTGGACCTGATGGCATTTATCTATCTCAACGAAAATACTGTCTCGACATTATTTCTGAATGTGGTCTCACTGGTGCACGTCCTGCTGACACTCCTCTCGAACAAAATCATCGTCTAGCTACCAATGATGGGCCTTTCTTTGCCAACACATCCAAATATCGGAGACTCATTGGTCGTTTGGTCTATCTCGCACTCACTCGGCCTGAGCTCAGCTACTGCGTCCATATACTAGCTCAGTTCATGCAATGTCCTCGTCAAGCTCATTGGGATGCTGCTATCCGCGTTGTCCGATATCTCAAAGGTTGTCCTGGTCAAGGGATTCTTCTCTCCTCTACCTCCGACCTTCAGATCACCGCATATTGTGACTCTGACTTTCAATCTTGTCCTCTTACTCGTCGCTCCCTCAGTAGCTATGTCGTCTTACTTGGTGATTCAACTGTTTCTAGGAAAACAAAGAAACCGGATCGCGTCTCACGCTCTTCCGCAAAAGCAGAATATCGATCCATGGCATTTGCGACTCAAGAACTACTATGGATCAAAGAACTTCTTCAGTCTATTGGTGTTGATCATCAGTCTCCAATGCAACTCGTTTGTGATAGCAAATCAGCTCTTTACATTGCAGCAAATCCAGTCTTTCACGAACGTACTAAACATATAGAAGGCGATTGTCATTTCATTCGAGATGAAATCATTTCTGGAACCATTGCCACATCTCACGTTAGTAAAACAGACCAGCTGGCTGATCTTCTTACCAAGGCATTGGGTCGGCAACAATTCTCTTATCTACTCCGCAAGTTGGGCGTTTGTGATCTCCACGCTCCCACTTGAGGGGGAGTATTAGAATATTCTCATATCTTCAAAATGTATACTTTCATATTCACCGCATATTTACTTTTCTCTTAGGACGTTTAACCTAAATTCTTTGTATTATATAAACTCTTGTAAGATCAATAAGAAACGCAACCTTTTCTCTCAAGTTTAACAATATCATATTTGTTGCTTTTGTACTTTGGGCTATATCAAATGTTCGAGATTACCATGATACTCTCAGCTTCACTCTTAAGTAAGTGAGAAAAGCTAATTTGGATAATATTTGATCAAGTACGTAATATGAAAATAAGATGTCAAGTAGCTTGAGCTTTATACAATGATAATAACTCTACATCAAATATTTTCATAAAACAAATGAATTTTATCAATGAATTTATGGATATTGCACTCAATAATCATATTGAGTATCATAATTAAGTGGATAGCCATATCAACTTCATGGTTAGAATACAATCAATATTTTCTACAATATTACCAAAATTAGCCCTTAAATAAATCAAAGAAAAAATATGTTGTGGTCTAAATTATTTTCTTTTTTAATTTTGGGGTAAGGATTGAGGGTATAAATTTTAGGATTATGATTCTTTTTTCTAAATTAGGGTTTAGTTTTTTGGGTTTATAGTTTTAATTTTAGGATTAGGTTTATATATTTGGGTTTAGTTTTGTAGGTTTAGGGTTTATATCTTGGGATTAGGGTTTAGTTTTTTGGGTTTAGAGTTTAGATTTTTGGATTTTAGTTTAGGGTGTTTTCTTCTTTTCTTTTGTATTTTTTCTTTTGTATTTTGTTTAGTAAATAGTATAGTACTCCCTATGTCCCATATTATATCCAGATACATCCATTTTTTTTCAGATTCATTTTGCCCAACTGCTTAATTATATACAGAGGGAGTATAAAATTAAAGAGAGAATGATGTGTTATGACATTATGGTGATTTTGCATTAAACACAAGGGGTAAAGTATCAAATAGAGGTGGGCCATAGTTAATCTCTAAATTATGAAATTGATATGGCTATATTCTTAATTTGTGTTCTCAATATGATTATTGAGCAAATTAACCCATGAATTTACTCTCATTTTCTTAATTAAAATGATATCATACATTATTACTATCAGGCCCGGCCCAAACATAAACTGGGCCCTGTGCTCAAAATTTTTTTATTATCAAATTTACACATTTTTTGATAAATTTTAAAATTTGCACCCTTAAATGCACATTTTTAATTAGAAGATTGAGACCCTAAAATATAATAAAAAAAATAAACTGAAAATTAATGGGACCCCGTGCTTTTGCACTGCCAGCACTTCCTTAGGGCCGGGCCTGATTCCTATTAGAAAAAGTAATTTAACAAAACAAGTAACAAAAATTAGCATAAGGTAAGCAAAACATAAGTAAATTATAAGCAAAAAGCATAAGAAAATGAAAAAAATCATTCTATTTTTCTAATTCATACTTTTAAAGTTATTCTCTAAATATATATTACTTCATTTGATTTCATCATAGTTGTTAACTTTCTATTTATCCGGCCCAAACTAAATGTCTAAACCGGGTTCGACCACATATATATAAATTAGATTGATTTGTATCACAATTTATTAATCCTTTGTCGTTTTCTCGATATATAATGTTTAGGAATATATCAAGCTCGTCTATACAGCAATTAGCACCACTCGACGGATTGCATGTGAGAAAATTGCGACGGCGCCCGTGAATATGATCACCTTCACATTTGGAACAGTTACATATCCCCTTACTCCAAAACAGGTAATATCAAATTTCTCTATACTTTGAGTTTGTTTATTTTTCAGCCTTTAATTTTATATATATATATATATTAAGTATGTATCCAAACTATTAATTAATGGTAGAAGATGCAACTTTGGTTTTGTGAAGAGTACCGCTGATGATGACATATAATTTTTTCTTCTATGTCTCATCAATTTCTGGGGTTTCCTCTTCAATCGTTATCTTCTTTGAAACTCGTATCCCATAAAGTCAATAGTTTTTTTTTTCAATTCCATGGCGGAGATGAATCGAGTACTAATACCACCGGAATCGGATCTTATAGTTCCGGTGACGAACACGGGTAATAATTCAACTTCTAATTCTGATTTTCACCCAATTTCAAAACTTACGAGTTGGAGGAGGTGACAACTATAGATCTGTATGTGGATTTTTTGATCCAGAACTCTCAAGGTATAACAATCTTCTGGTGAGCCATTATTGGTGAGTCAAGAACCAAAGTTCTGTAAATCAAGTTATACTCCATGCACAATCGAGAGATGAATAAATGAGTGAATCATAATGGAAGAAAAAGAACAATTTGAAGAACATAATTAATTGTGTGCCAAATTGGAGGAAATCCCATGAATTAAAGAGAACAGATGAATTGAAAAAAAAAAACAAAAACCAGAAAAAGAGAAGACGATTGAGAATCGAAGAAAACAGAGAATTTTTTTTAATTAAAATAAATAAGTAAATATATTAAATATTTTATTTTCGAATTTTAAATCCACGGCGGATGGATTGGCAGAAAGATGAAGATTATTTTTTGTTTTATTGCAAATTAAAAATAAAGAAAATAATAATTAAAATTATTTTTATTTAAAAAAAATAAAAACTACTGACACGTCATCTTTTTTTTACCGGAAAATAAACAGTTTAGGTCATTTTTTTGACGGCGTAACCCTAAAATTTAATTTCAAGGTTTTATCTGTTAACATAATTAGTTGGGTTTTCTGCAAATTAACCCTTCAAGTGCTTTTTGTTTGCAAATTTACCCTTAACTCTAGAAAAATGCATATCAACCCATCAAGTTCGAATTAACCCGCAATATAACCCGCATATTTAATAAAAATTATTTAAAAAACATCATTTAGAAATAACAAAGGAAATTGAAAATCTTATTGGTTTTCATAGCCACGTGTTAGACTTTCTGTTGGAGACCAAAAAGTCTAGTGTGGTCGAACAACTGAGATAGAACCGAACTAGGGTTTTTTCCATCTTTTTTTTTTTGAATTGAAGAGAATCTTTGACTCCTTTATTTAAAAAATAGAAAAAATATATATTTAATTTCCAATATCCAATGTAGATAAAAAACTTGTTTAAGTTAATGAATCATGTATTCACTTTAATTTTGTAATCATATATATAGAATAAATTAACTCAAACATAATACTTTTAATAAACTTGGTCTGTGGATACCAAAAAAACTAGTTTGAATACATGTAATAAACTTACCTGTGAATACCAAAAAAAAAATTAACTTTTTATTTTTAGATACGGGTTATATTGCAGATTAATTCGAATTTGATGGGTAAATTTGCAAACAAAAACCATTTGAAGGGTTAATTTGCAGAAAACCCTAATTAGTTTAAAGGTTTTAAGTGTTAGTGCAATATTTTGAAGGTTAAAAGTGCTAGCATCTTTGAAGGTTAAAAATGCAAGTTTTCCTCAAACCTAATAACTGTATATAGTTTTAGAAAGTCAAGAACCAAGTGAACCTGAAAATTTGAAATGATCGGTTGAATATTAATTAAACTTTGTAAAATGTATAGTTTAAGGATACCTCATGTCCAAGAACATAATTGGTGGTGTCAGATGATCATCTACACATTCGGAAATCGACACTGTAATTCTGTATTGCAATACCAACTTTCAAGTGTGTTATATAGTATGGTAAACTGTGCAAGGTAGAAAGAAGTTAACCGAGTCCTCGTGGTCTGGTGGTAATGGAGCCTCAGCTGAGGCCATCACGAGTTCGAGTCCCCGGCCACCTGGGCTGCCTTAAATGGTAAGAAAACGTGGACTGCCGTGGGCCTCGTGGGATTAGTGTTGGGCCTAGAAAGCCTTTGGATCACCCACGATTATCAAAAAAAAAAAAAAAAAAAAAAAAAGGTAGAAAGAAGTTAGACATAGACGTGAACATGTGTACTTCTCCTCGCAAAAGGATATTTTACCATTTTGCTCTTACCTGAAAACTAAAATAACATTTTTGAAACTTTTTCCTTTAAAGTATATTATATAAACAGTATTTTACATAAAGGTTTACATTCTTTAATTATTTTATTTTAAAAAATCTTTCCTATTCAAAAAAAAAAAAGTGTAGATTTTCATGTCTTTTCTTTTATATACTAGGGGGTGACCTACGCTTTGCGCAGGTTGTGTTAATTTTATTGTTTTTTTCTGCAAATTTAATATCTTTTCAAAGATATTATATACATATTACTTAAATATAATTAAAGTTAGGCAAAAAATTTGTACAGTCTTGTTCCATCTCGTCTCATTTCGTTCATTTTTATCATGTACGTTCTTTTCCGTCTCGTCTAGTTTCATCCTGTCCCATTTCATTTCTTCTCGTCTCGTTCCCTAAATATAATTAGGGTTAGGCATAATTCTGTTCTTTTTCATCTTGTCCCATTCTTTTTCGTTATGTTCATTTTGTTCGCCCCATCTTATCCCATCATATCTTATTATGTTCTTTTCCATTTTATCTTGTCTCGTCTCATCTCTAAATATAATTAGGGTTAGGCAAAATTCATGTCTTCGTCACTTTCCATCCCATTATGTCCATTTTCATATTGTTCGGTCCAATCCCGTCACATTCGATTTCTTTTCATTATGTCCCGTTCAACCTTTCTGTCTTGTCCTTTCTCATCATGTTTTTTTTTTTTTTCCGTTCCGCCCCTAAATATAATTAGAGGTAGGCGGAATTTATGTCTTGTCCTATCCCGTTCTTTTCTATTCTCTTAGATCTCGTCTCGTCACTTAATATAATAAGAAGTAAACAATTTCCCCCTTTTCTCCAGTTCTATTTTTTTTTCATTTGGCCATGTTCAATCTCGTCTCATTTCATTCCAAAATACTAAAAAAGTGTTATTCCTATAATATTTTATTATTATTATGATTGCTAAATAATAGTTTTTGTAGATCTATATATACATAACATTTTTTTTTAAATGATTTTTCATATTCTTATTAAGTTACTATAGTAATAAATGATAATTATTATAAAAATTAAAATAGATAAAGATAATAAAATATAATAAACAAATTGATATGCTGAATTTAGAGACAAATAGAGGTGGCAGTCTAAAAATAGAATCACATTAATTTTTACGAAGCCCATTTCTACTTTTTGTGTGAACGCAACATATAAAAGACAGATGGGCCATAAAAGTCAGTTTTAATTTCGCATGGCCCTATTTTTAATTTAGTTTAATTTCGCAGTGGAGGAAGTCCATGAGGAGAACAATATAAATCAGGACAAACTGACGTGGAAAAAATCTGAATTTAGAAGCACCTATAGTTGGTGACATGGCAGCCTGAAAATAGAATGACACCAACTATATATATTGATTATGATATAATTTGTATCTTGTTCTAGGTATGTAATTATAATATGCTTTTAAAATAAAATTGAGATTACTTTATCATCTAAAAAAATTAAAATAAAAGCAGTTGAATACATTTGTATTGTTCATTTGCCGCCAATGCTACATTAACAGATACTTTACATGCTTTTAGAGCATTTCCAACCTCATGCCAAATATGACATATATGCTATTTTGTCATATCATTTGCTCTAACCCTATTGTATATGCTATTTTTGCTTCTGTATTTGACATAAGATTATACAATATGCTATTTTAATATTGAACTTTTTTTTATTTATAAAATAGTCATAAAATTTGTAAATACTTTTAATTTAATAGTTTAACTATTTTGATTATGATTTATCTAAATAAATAAGCAATAATCATAATTCCTCCTAACTATCAACATCAGCAAAAAAATCATTAATTGTATTTAAGATATTTAATATATGTGTATTAATATTTCTTTATATATATTCCTATTTTACACATAAACAAAACTAAGAAAAATACACAAACAATTTAATTGATTAATATAAAGTATGTGATATCTTGATGTTAAAAGTTAAAAGAAAGTTGTAATATAAAATGGAGATGAAATAAAGAAATATTTAACTTGAAATAGTATATAGTTAGGTTTTAACTCAAAGGATTTATCCTATTTAAAAATGTTATAATGTGCTTACAAGTAAAAAATACAGTATAAATTATTTAACATAGTAAAAAGCTAATAAAAAATTAGAGTTAGAGTAAAAAAATAGAAGTCGAGTTATTATTTAAATTTCATTGCAACGAAAAGCATGAAAATTTTAAGAATGGTGACATGTTTGTTTCAAAAATACAATTTATATTTACAAAACTAACATAATAGAAAATAATCAATTGTCATATGCTACCACAACAAAGCATATATGTAAGAAGTTATACATGTTTTTGTTTTTCATCATATTTTGAGTGCAATTGCGATTCTACACCTTTTTTTTTGAACAGCCTTTCATTAAAATATACGGGTCTAAACCCAAGAGTCACGATACAACGAGGTGAAATCCTGAAGGAATTTCTTTGCGAGAGCATCAGCAATAGAATTGTCTGATCTCGGTACGAAATTAAAGGAGATTGCCACAAACACTTTTGACAAGCCGAAGATATCGCGAAGGATACCGAAGATCTCAGTAATTTGTTCTCCTGATTGCATGGCTCGGATGAGCGGTTGAGAGTCAGATCTGAGGTGAATCGAATTCCAGCCTGAGATCTTTGCTTGATGAAGGGCTTCACGGATGGCGAGTGCTTCCGCTACAAGAGGTGAGAGGACGGACGCCTCTCCTCTCCATCACTGTCCGATGATTTGGTTCCGATTGTCTTTTGCGCTCCATCCAAATCCGGCACATTTGTTGTCCTGGTTCCACGCTGCATCTGTGTAGAGTACCGTCGCTTCCGGGTCCGTATGGGGAGGGACGACGCGAGGTTTTCCGGTGGTCATAACAGTGTTTGCCTTCTGAGCTTCCTGCCATTCGCGAGCATCCGCACAAGCCTTTGTAATTATTTCGGTTGGTTTGAACGACCGGTTCTCAAATAGGAGATGGTTCCGTGCCCCCCAAACACACCAGCTGATCCAAGGAAACAAAGAACCTGGTTCAATTCCTGTTGGAGGGAGAGGCAGCCAGAGTTTTGAGGTCTTCAAAACCTCCGGGAAAGTTTGCGTTGGGGAGAGGATGATCGGGTTTTTTGTTGGGGTGAGGTCCCAAACTTCATGAGCGGAAGAGAAAATGTTCTCTAGTTTCGAGATCTCCACAGTGACGACATCCCGATCCTGTATATAGGCCTCTAGCTTGTAGACTGCTGCCAATTTCTAGAGCCCCATGCGCCACTCTCCAGAGAAACATCTGGATTTTCGGAGGTATGTTCCTAGACCAAATTTCTGCGTTCCAGTCTATGTTCCAGATGGTTCCCTGCTGTGTCTCTGCTTGTGCTTTGTTCTCGTATGCTACATGGTAGCCGGTTTTTGTCGTGTAGATTCCGGACTTGGTGGAGATCCAGATCTGCTTGTCCGGCACACCGGTGAGACTTGGTTTAATACAAAGGATTTGTTGTTTTATTTCTGGGAAAAAGGATTCCACCTTCTCTCGGTTCCATTTGTCTGTGTCTGCCTGGAGAAGATCAGCGACAACCCAATTTACCGTTTCCCTTGTAGCCGGTCCCATTGGTCGGGAAATGGAAGAGGTTGCGATTCTACACTATGTTTACAAATTTTAACGTTGAGTCAAATGCATATTAAATTTTAGAAATACAAAACTCGAGATGAAATAAGGCGTTAATATCTTATTGTTAGTGTTAATTGTTAGGTTAACTCAAGATATAACCATTTCTTTTTGGGCCATAGAAGCTTTTTGCTACTGCAGCTCCTGTAGTTGAACTTCCTTTTTGGTAATATAATTTACGTTTTATCAAAAAAAAAAATAACCAAAACATGGAAGTTAACATATAACCATCATAATTCAAAATTTCAAATCAATAAATATAAATAAAATCAAACAGAAAATTATCGCAAACAGCTCCGAGGTTGCGCGGGACTTTAATCCTAGTAATACCAATTTCGAGGAATCTTGGGTTTTTCTATATCGAATATTTGTGTACTATTTTAATACTTTTGAATAGTATATCCAACGGTGTTAATGTGTGTCAGTAAGATAAAAATGCATTAAAAAAGACTTATAAAAGAAGGAGTACATTAAAAAAGACTAAAACTCCTGTAAATTAAATAATGGGATATCAACGATAAACTTCTTATTTTAGTGTTGAACTATTAACGTTCATCAAAATAAACAGTAAAAATATATTGTTCGGACACTATAAAATTTGTTTAGAAGATATCATACCAATAAGTTTAGAAGATGAGTCAGTCAGCAAGCATTCATGAACTTGAAACAACAGTAAATTATATTTTACTAAATTATTTTATATATTTAGCTATATATTTTTAAATTCAATTTTTTTTAATTTATTCTATTATTGTGACTATATTTTTGTATAAAAGTTTTCAAAATATTCTTATCTTATCAAATTTTATTTATTTTTGTACTGGATCAAAACCAGAAATTTTATATTTTATAGTAACTATTAATTTTGTTAATATTAATTTATAGATGTTCTGTGACCTGAAACCGTGGCATACTATTGTAATGACTAATTGACTAGTAACACTATTATTGGGTCGTTGTGGATTTCTTAGAAATATAATACTGAAACAACAATAATTTGTGGTTTCCGTGGAAAACAAATCATATTTTATCGTGTATCAAATTAGAAAAAAGGATATGAACAAAAAATAGTTATAATTTATTTATATAGAAGAAATAATTATAAGAAAGTCAAATTCCTAAGTGCCTAAACTGCCTTAAAACATTTTCTATAATATTCAGTGTTGATATTTTCTCTTTCAAGCTTTATCCTACAATTCCTATATCGCCATGATTGATAATGGAGTGCAAACGAATGCAAGACATTACAATATTGGAGTGCCAAAATACTACACACCTTTTGTTTGCAGACGACTCACTTTTTTTTTTCCTCTGTAAAGCAAACCAGAGAAACTGTGCGGTAATTTAAAGAGGTTTTTCGAATTTATGTACTCTGCTCTGGTTAGAAAATCAAGCAAGCAAAATTTTTAGTTACACTAGGAGAGAACCCGCTCTACGCGCGGGTTTAAATTTTCGATAGTATTTTGTTTACTTGTTTTTGTTCTTTCACATTTTGGACATCCTGTGTGACTCTCTGTTATACAAATTAATATAGTTCATGCCAAATAAGGTTTTACAGTACATATAAGCTTAACTCTACCGATGTTAAAAATACAAAGGTTAACTCAACCACATTTGCTTCTCCAGGTTCATTGTATATCTAATCAAAGTTTTTGAAAACCATTCTTGGCACCGGACTGTTGGAAGGAAAATAATTGTATAATTTAGGTTGTATATTCGAGATCTTGCCAACAGTGGGAAGATATTACTTGCTGCATAAACAAATTATAAACTTCAAATGGAGAGTCTTTAAAGTGTCTATTAACAAAAGAAACAAACTGAAGAAACAGAGAAAATAAAAAAAATGGTTAGGCATCTTTTTATTCAAACCCATCCAACATGAGAAACAAATGCATTAGAAAACAATACCTTGAGAACAATAACAATCTTTGCTTAAGCTTCCTTTGTGAAGAGCTATAGATTTTTAAGAAAATTTCTGTCTATCTTTAAAATAAAGAATGGTGTCCAATGGTGTCCGATTCAATCTGGATTTGAAGAAAAAAGTGAGAAGTTCATTACCCTTGTTGATAAGAAATAATATCTCTAAGTCGAAATGCATAAGATGTAACAATTAAGTAACGAAAGTACAATCTTAATAAGAGGTTTTGATAGAGTTTTATTTATTGAGTCAAACATGTGGTTATTGAGCCCTTTAAAAGTTTGCTTAGTTTGCATGCATTGCATTGCTCCACCAAATCCAATTATAAGTTTCAACTCAAAATTCAAGATACGATGACAATACAAACACACAACGTCATTATGATAACATCGTTATGTTTATGAGATTAACAACGTGTATGTGTCTCAAATGAAGCTAAACGAATAAACAATTCGCACTCCAAAAATAGCTTTTGACTTGTACTGCATTTCTTCTTTAACCGTGTACTAAACCTGTATACACACCAAAACATGAGATATTGTATGTATAGCTCAATACATAGAGGATCCCAAAGTATACCGGTGCCTTTATGTTTCATTTTGGAAACAGCACATAGTGGAAATATCCTTTTAAGGCCATCTAACATTTCAAGAGGTTCTAGTCTGGAAAACATGATTAATACATTTGTATTTGCTTAACGATGAATAAGAAATCACTCTATTTTTCAAGAATCAAAATGCAAGGAAATGACAATAAATTTAGATTTTAGTAAACAACTCAAGTAAGTTTCATTGTATAAAATCTTTATGATTTGTTTCGACTTTGTATGAAACTCGAAAATCAAGCAAATTTACCAAATCCTCATCAATATATTTTGGAATCAAATTATTATAAAATATGCCCTATGAAAAAAATAAAAATAAAGCATTATTAAAGAACAAACCTTTAGATGCAGTTAGTCTTGAGTCCTTCCTTTACATGGATAAGAAACCTATCTTAAGAATCAAATAACAAAATGAAATTTGGTTGTGCTAAAACTCGAGTGATGACGGAAGCCATCTTCCTGAAATATATTGTTTATAATACATTTAGCACTAAATAACTTTGCTTCTTTAGCTACGACATTTCTGCATGTTGAGGATAAGTTTCCACGTACTTCACTCCAATCTCCACTCAAATCAATCACTCTGGTCAGAGGAGAGTAAGAGTTACAACAAAAGTTTCATGTCACCCACAAAGGGTTTTTACAAACACAACAGAGACGCAGAGAAAGAGTAAGAGAGAGGATTATTTACAAGTGGAGTAGAGAGAGACAGAGAGAGAGAGAGAGAAGTCAAGGTACGGTCAAGCGATCAGAGCCATTAACCGGAGACTCCAATGTAGAGATAAGACGAAGGAGATGGAGTTTCTCTACAAAAAGCTTCATCACTTTTACTTCCTCTTCATCAGATGCAAAGGCCATACTTATGCTTAGCTCTTGAATCGCCTCTCCGTATTGCCTGCTCAACAATTCAAGATTTTTTTCATTCCATCAAACAAAACAAGTAACAAAAGAACCAATCTCTCTCATCTATATAACTTTTGAAAGTGTTTTTATTTTCTTTACTTGATGTGGTAGAGCATCATGCCAAGGTCTCTGCGAAGTTTCCAGTTGTGAGGCTCCAAAATCAACAGCCTTTCTGCAGCCGCAATAGCCAACCTACAATCAGCAGAAACCGAATGTTAGATTGGTAAACAATTCAATGGATTCCTTCTTAAATGGCATAACCTATAGGAGATAGGACAAGCTTTGTACCTAAGATCTTGAGGCCGCAATGGAATATCATATTTTCTGATTTTGTTAAGTTGACTAATAGGAGAAGTCAGCATTAGTCCAGGAGATGACCTCGACGCAAGTCTCCAATGAACCCTCTGAAAACGAACCAAAGGCAATAGAATATAATCTGTGTCAACGTGAAACCAGTTTGAAGTTAAGAATGTGCAGTTATAGTTACATAGGTGATAGGACTTACAATCAAATTGGCGAGAGCAATCCCTATAATGTCTCTGTTCGTCGCAATATCCAAGTCTTGTAGTGACTTTGCGGTTAAATCTGATGCCATGGATCTAGGATCATCAACGCAGCGTCCATTGACAATACCAAACAAGCTCTGTCCTGAAGTTGTGTTAAAGAGTTCTTCAGGATACTCCGTCCTAGGCCAAATAAAAAATCTTCCCCAACGCGAGATCCCACAATAGGCACACCAAGGCGCTGACAAACTTCAATGTATATTACGCTAAACAAAAATGCTGCACCATGGAAGACAACAAAACCCATTCAAGATTAGAGGCAACAAATGAAACGCCTTTTGAGAAAGCCTAAAAGGGGAGACTTTTACCAGTGCCGCATCTACAGTTAAGTACAGAGTGAAGGTAAAAGTATTTGGGGTCTAAAGGAATAGATGTCCTCTTGAAGCCTCTCAGGTCGAAGAGTACTGTGTTCACAGCTTCAAGGACTTGAACCGAGTGGCGGCCGATGTCTCGTGAGACTAATTCTGCCTCTACTTCTTTGGAAATTGCATCTAGTCTGTTTAGTCTGCTGTCTTTGACGTTCCCCTGGAGTTCTTATCGCTCTCCATGTGAATATCACAGCAATTGCACCAATAGATCTTGAATCCTAAGTTTTCACACCAAATGATAGCAAAAACGAATCAAACTACTTGCAATCATCCCCATACTGAAAAGATATAATATTTTCTCCACCAAGCAGGTAGATTACAGTCAAATTTGAGCTGAATGATTAGTTTCGTCAATTTTTAGATTGAAACGATACATAGAGAACATATTCAACTGAATAATTAGTTCCCTGGAGTTTGCATTTGATCAATACACAAGCTTTTACATACCGATACGGTGGTGGTGACGCTTACTCCATCGAATCCAATTCTGGAGAGAATGTCGGAGCTATGATTCCGGGTATCAATCGTAGTCACGAATTGACAGTGAGCCGTGTGGAATTGGGGAAAACGTTCTGGGAAAAAAAGTGAGATCAGATGGCGGAGCTTTATATAGAGGCAGCGAGCATTGAAAGCTGAAACGGCAGAGGCAGGGATGTGAACAGTCTCGCCGGAGGTCGGTGTGGATCTGGCGGCCGATTGCAGCGGAGCAGTCGGGAAAAAAAGTTGCGTGGAAAAAAAAATTATTAGGGTTCAAAACGACGTCGTTTTGGCGTAAGAGGGAGAGAAAATAAAAATGCTTTTTTTAAAGGACAAAACGACGTCGTTTTGGTGTGAAAGGAAAAAAAAATCAGAAACCCAAAACGACGTCGTTTTGGTGTTTGGCGAAAAAAAAAAAGGGGTGCCACGTGTCCCCAGCTGGAGAATGTCCCAAACCTTATTAGTTATGTAGATTATAAACAAAGTTCGTCAAAATACGTTTAGTTGAAGTGCGAGATTGAGTATATATTTTTTTCTTTGATGTAATTAGATACTGATAAGATTAAGAGCTAGTTGCTTTGCACACACCACTAAGACTAAGGTATTCCAAAAATTCCTCAAACAGTGAGGAGAATACAACGACCTTGAAGAAAAGGTCCTAACAAATAAGCCAAGCAAGACACTAACGAATTGCTCTATATTATTAATAAATCGTATATATCTTTTGCATGATGCAACATAATTATTGTTAGGCGACATTTTATAAATTTTAGGCGACATTTCTAATTTTGCATCTTCCATCTACCCGATTCCTATTTATTAATAATCTTTTGTCAGATTGCACGTTTTTTCCGATCGACATTTCATTAAAGATATACTATTACTATAATTAATTTTCTTTTAGATAAAAGCCAGCTACTGTTGATTTATTTTGTTGTCTTGATTTGTTTTTCGTCCCATGCTACCCTCGAGATGCTCAAATCTACTAAATATAAAACCAAAGCTGATTCAAAATGTGTAAATAATTAAATATCCTCAAGTGTCCAATCCTCAACTCCTATAAAAATGTCGCTACATTTCAAAGTTACTCATACAAAAAAACAAAAAAAGTCTATATAGCAATTCTTTAACTTTGGCACTTGAAGAAAAAAGAAAAAGTGATAATGGAGAGGCAAAAGAGCATAATGGAGAGACAGAAAAGCATGGAAGCCGGTTTACTCAGGAAGAGTCTCAGCGTAAGAGAAAGGAAACACCCACACGATGACGGTTATATTGAAACCAGTTTACCACCCAAGAGACATTCAAACCATAACGAATCGAAGAAACATCAAAATGAAGACGATGAATGTTCTGTTACATTATCTGTTTGCCTCATCACCTTTATCGTCGTCACTGGCTCTTTCTGCGTCGGTTGTGGTGTAAGTAATCTTAACTTTCTTGGTTTTTGTTCAAGATCTACTGTTCCATTTACTTATATGCTATCAGTTTACGTTTTAACCATTATTACGGTATCTTCTTTTCCTTTATCTTTGCTATTGAGAACACAACTAGTCTAATTGTGGTGAATGTAATGTTTTTTGCAGGTGGGTTATTCATCAGTTGCACAACATGGAATTGTCAGTGATTTATCTCTATCTGTTGCAGAAGTAAGTCTACTGTATATACATAAATACTCAATTATGATTCTATTTGGTTACAAATATTTTCCCAAAAGCTGGTTACAATTTGATATTGAACATTAGCTATATAAGTATATAACTAACAAAGTGTGTTTACAAAAAAAAAAAAAAAAAAAAAAAAATCTTCTTTAGTATTTGCAGTTCTTTATCATGGTAAATAAGAAAATGACATTGGAGTTTTTGAACAATTTTACCTATATAATTTTAAGTGTTACGAGACGAATGATTTTCATAGTGGACAACTAATCATATCAACATCTATATGATTATTTATAAGTGAACTATTGTTTAGACTCTATATTATTATGGGCCATATTTAATACTGATGCATTCATTTACGAAAATAATGGATAACTATATTTTAACATATACAATCGACAAAATAGCAGGCTGAATTTCATCTAAATTGTTTTTCATTACCATTTACCAAAATTGACTTTTTAAATCTATTTTACAGTACTCGATGTTCGGGTCAATGTTGACGTTAGGAGGACTCATCGGTGCAGTATTTAGCGGTAAAATCTCTGACGTTTTAGGAAGAAAACGGGTAAGCAATATGGTTATTCACTAATTTGGTTGACCGGTTAACAGAAACCAATCTATACTAACAGTTTTTTTTATTCCAAATAAATAATTGAAAAAACAGACAATGTTATCTTGCGAAGTCTTCTGCGCAGTAGGCTGGCTCTGTATCGCAATGGCTCAGGTTTCTTAAAAAAATTACTGTAGTTTTCTACATTTGTTGTATTTTCTTAAAGTATTAGTATAATAGAGTTCCATTATAACTGAAGGATGCATTGTGGCTGGATTGTGGAAGATTACTACTTGGAATTGGCGTTGGTATCTTCAGCTACGTGGTAATTATTGATTCATAATAAATCATTCATTTTTATCAAAAAATAAAGATCAGTATATACATATATATAGACTAATATTATTCTTATTTTATAGATCCCCGTATATATCGCGGAAATAGCACCAAAACATGTTCGAGGATCGTTCGTGTTTGCTAATCAGGTTGCAAAGCTTTAAAGTTACTAACCTGAATTTTTAACGACTAAATAGATGTATTCTTTTAATATTAATATTATCTTTTTTTTTTCCTTTCAATTTTTGCTTATTTCCAGCTATTGCAAAATTGCGGGCTTTCACTATTTTTCATCATTGGAAATTTTATATCTTGGAGGATGCTATCTATAGTTGGTAAGATCCAATCAAATTTTGAATATTGATTTATAAATAATTAATTACGTGATTGAATTAATTCGATACGAGTTAATTCTATCTTTTACTCTATGTTTTAAGGTATGGTTCCATGTGTTCTTCACGTTATTGGTCTATTCTTCATTCCCGAGTCTCCAAGATGGTTGGTAAGTCTAGTTATTGATTTAACTATGTTAAAACAAAAAGATATTGCCAACCTAAAGGATATCTATATTTTTACTTAAAATTATATTAAACGCAATATGGGTGTCTAGTTCAAATATTAATTAGACAATGACAATCATAAGTCTAATGTAATGTGTGATAAATTAATAATGACTTTAAAAAAAACTTCGACAGGCAAAATGTGGTCGTGATAAAGAATGCAGAGCTGCCCTACAACAACTTAGAGGCCATGACGTGGATATTTCAATTGAAGCTAACGCAATCAGAGTAATTTTATGAATTTTATTAACTTAACTCGATATTGTTGACGTCGTAGTCTTGATTTTCTTAACTTTTATTGTCGACAAAAATAATCTTGTTATTTGACTTCTTATTTGTTCTAGGATACGATGGAATTTTCCAAACAAAGCGGTGAAACACATATTATGGAACTGTTCCAGAAACGATATGTATATCCGTTAATTGTAAGTATATGCATGAATGGATATCAGTTGAACTTTATTGTAAATCTTTAGTTAAGGAATAATATTATCATTATCGTTCTTGAAACTTGTTAATGGTTTTCTACTTTTATAGATCGGAGTCGGTTTGATGCTCTTGCAACAATTATCTGGTAGCTCAGGAGTTATCTACTATGCTAGTAGCCTTTACGAAAGAGGAGGTATTTATTTATTTATTTATTTATTTTGTCGAATCTTGCATGAAATTAATATTTAGATTGAAAGAGTTGCATCTTACATTGTTTTAATTTGCAAATCAGTTTGAATGATAGTAACTTAATTTAACTTCAGGTTTCCCTAGTGCTATTGGCACATCTGTAATGGCCACAATTATGGTAAGATAGTAATATTTACGAGACTACTTTGTTACAATATATACTTATAGAAATTCAAAATACTGCTGATTCTAGAATCAGTCATACTTAAAGCATTTTATGAATTGTTGCTTTACAGATACCAAAAGCGATGATTGGAACAATCATTGTCGATAAAATGGGAAGAAGAACTCTCCTTATGGTTAGATATTACTCTGTTAACTTTCATTTATCTATTGAAGGAAGATTTAACAACAATCGTTTATAAGTATTCTTTGTTTGTTACTTAATTGTTGTGCAGGCTTCTTGTGCAGGAATGGGCCTATTTTCTCTGCTCTTAAGTGTTTCCTACAGTTTTCAGGTATCAATTCTCATAGATCTTATCATCAAATATAAAAGATATTATAATGTGTTAATTAGTAATATTCGTTAATGTTAAAATAGTCATTCGGCGTTCTACCACAACTCACTCCTATTTTCACATGCATCAGCATACTGGTAAACACTTATTTTGTAAATTATTTTTCATAAATTTAATCTTGGGGAAGTATCTGACTGGTTTTTTTTGGTTGGATAAATACAAATTTTTATATATAAATTTATTAGGGTTACGTTATATCATATGCTTTGGGAATGGGAGGACTACCATGGATTATAATGTCTGAGGTAATTACAGAAATGTTCAACATCTAATGTCTGTTTTATATTCACATAACAAGACAAATGTGTATACTAAATTTTAAAATCGTAATAATTTTTTTTTTAAACATAATAACTTTTTTTTAATATGTAGATATTTCCGATGAACGTAAAAGTATCAGCCGGAACCTTGGTTACCGTCACAAACTGGGCATGTGGTTGGATTATCACTTTCACCTTCAATTTTTTAATGCAGTGGAATGCAGCAGGTTTGGAACTATTTGTTGTATACTTCTATTTCGTTATTCTTATAATTATGATCATGCTCATGCTTAATGGAATTATATCTTTTTATTTTCAGGAACATTTTTAATTTTCTCCACCGTTTCGGCCATGTCGATTATGTTTATCTATTTCTTGGTGCCCGAGACCAAAGGAAGGTCACTCGAAGAAATACAAGCATTGCTTTCGAGTTATGTGCTTTGATATCAGATTATCAGTACTATTTGTTCTGTTTCAAGAAAAGAACAAAAAAAAATGAATATAAATTTATCACTGTTCATGTGAGTTTGGATGTCTTGAATGATTAGTCAAAATTTTTATATAAAACATAAAACATTAAAAAAAGTAATGTATTTTAAAAAAAAGAGTCTATGAACTTTTTTTTTGTAAAATCAAGATCATTTTATAGAAACTCCAAATCAAAAATTAAGATCATACTGGTACGTTCCAACATATATAAAATCTCCGACCAAGATATCCTCTTTCTTCACCGTTCCATCATCCCAAGTGATCCATCCAATCACTTGGATGAAGTGCACGGCTTTCGATTTGCAGTGTATCTTTGGTACTTCCTGGTCTACCGTTTAACCGGCAACCATTTACATTGTTGTACTGAAATAGACTTGGGCCTAGTCCACGTTTTCCTCTTAGCCCTCCCGTTCTGCAAAGCTATCTTAATGGATCTTCGCTTATGCAAGCTCCTTCTTTAACCACCGACGGGCTTGTAGTCCTTCTTTTAATGTTCTCAATAGAGAGATCATTCCTAATAATTACCTCCTTCATATAGATCTATATATACCACCGATGTTTTTTTTATGGAGCGTTTATTTGTAAACTATGCTTTGATGACGAAGGCATGTGTGATATCCGGGCTCTTGTAACTTTGTTTACATGAATCCTAAAAACTGTATGGAATAGGTTACATGAACCCCCTATAAAAAGAGAGCTATTGTAATCTCTTTTTCTCATTCACAGACTCATCAAAGCAAATTCAGCAAATCTCTTTGATTCTCTTTCTCTAATTTTAAAATTATGTCTTTGAAAGTTCAAAAGAACAGTGGAGATTATTTGACTCTAGGTCAATTGGATCGAAATCGAAATTATCGCCGTACTATAGTACGTGTTATTCGAAAGTGGGAAGCTAGAAATCCTAAAGAAAACAATATTCTTATGGGAGTTGACCTTCTATTACTTGATGAAAAAGTTAGTAACATTTTATATTTATATCTTATTATATAAATATGAAAGTTAGATATCAATGAAGAATATTTAATTTTAGATCAGTTGGATCAAAATTGAATTTATTGTCGCAACATGTGTCTAATAATTGATCAGGTGATGAGTTGTGTTAACACAAGAACATTGGAAAAATGTATTAACAGAAAAAAGAAAAGTAACATTGTAAAAAACCTAATTGATATTGGAAAGGGAAATTAATAATGGAGAGAGGCTAAAAAAATATTGAAAAAGAAACAATATAAATAGAAAACAGACAGAATAATTATCAAGCAACTAACTAATATTAAAAAGAAAAATTTAAAGTACATTTTGTGCAACAGCCCTTCCTATCTGATAGAAAAGGATCCCATGATCCTGAACCGATCTTACCTGGGATCGCAAATCCCAAGTTTGTCTATGAAGAGCAGATCTAATTGTATTAGTGTCTATAATTGATTTCTTCTGTGTAATACTAATTGATAGGGCCTCATTGGTAAGTGCTACAAGATCTCGTGCACTGGAACCCGAGATTCAAATTTAAATAAAGAAGCCAATTCAATGGAATTGACAATGGGTTTCATGAATAAAAATTTGTTTAAATTAGGTATTTGGGATAATTGACCCATTTTATAATTTTTAATAATTTAATTTTCAAGTTTTAAATCGAATAATCAAAATTTTATGGATTAATTAATTGATCAAATTTAGACACATGTAATTCTTTCTAATATTAGATAAAAAAAATCATTTTTTATATTATGAATTCAGAAACAAAATGTGAGTTATAATTAAAATGTAAAAGGATTACCAATTTTATTTAATTTAGATATTTATTATTGATTTTTAATACTATTTTATTTACCAAAATGATCCGATTTTTTTGATATTTTTGTGATTAATTTTATAAATTTTAAAATAAACCCGCGTGTATACGCGAAACTTAATCTAGTCTCATATAATATTATATATCTGTAATTTACCAAAATTTAACAATTAACAAATCCTAAATACTAAAATATAGATCTTTAGAGTTTTATACTTTAAAATAAGATATGAATTTACATTTTCTTATTTAAATTTATCATTCGATTATCAAAAAAATTTAAATATTTATATAATAAAATAATAATCATACAAAAAGTACAAATAACCCGAAAACCGAGATTATTCCACCCGAAAATATCCAAACCGAGAAAACCGATAACAGAGACTATCAAACCGAACCAAACCGAAGTAATTATGGTTCTAGTATGGTAGCTATTTTTTATTAACCGAAAAAACGAATACCGAAAAACCGAACCGATATCCGGATTGAACACCCCTAGATTTAGACCTATCTATTGCCTTCCCCCATGTCGTCGATGAGTATAAATAAGCTCTCCTTATTCTATTGTTCTTCATTCACTTCAAGAGTTCTCTCTTCTCTCTCAGATCTCAATCTTTTTCTCTCTTTGCTTCTTCTCTCTCTTAAGCTTCTCTCATTCTTCTTCTCCGTCGAGCATGTCTTCTCCTTTGGCTTCTCCGTGTGAGGACGGCGTCCCCGCTCCTCCAGCGTCGCCACCACCACCTCTGGTTCCTGCCGGCTTTGAAGAACCGACCTCACAAGCGATTAACCAGCGATGGCTTGGCTTCTGGAAGTGCCGCCGTGGATAACGAGACGCTCGCGGCCTTGGTTGCTGATGTGTCGCCTCTACCTCTACAGCCCGTATACTATCCTCCAACGTGGGTACATGCGCCGGCCTTCACGTTACTCCTTTGCTAATCCACCACCGTGGCATCATCATCTTGCTCGTCCGCAGTATCCGAGGTGAGGACGGGCTTATGCTTCTTCTTCTTCCCTTCTTGTGTCTTAGAGTCGTTTATTACATCTTACTTGCGTGTTAAGTTATTGTTGTCGTTGTTCTTGTTGCTTGTATTGATCGTGTGTTACACACGTATGTTCTCGTGTTCACATATAGGTTGTTAGATGTGTTGTTTGATCTCTTGTTGTTGTTATTGGTCACTTGTGGGTATTTGTGGATGATTGTTCTCACCTAGTATTCAACGGGTAGGGATCTAAACCGGTATTGTGTGTTATAACATGTATGTTGTGTACTTGCGATGGAACGGAGATGAGATCATTGGTCGGTTTTGGACCAATGTTTGGTCGATGATGATGTCGTAGGTTGTGTGATTAGGAGCCATGTGGGAATTGTCTCCGGGGTTAGATAAAAAAGAACCTGACACCATCGGTTAGGGCCTAACGTTGGTACTGGCTTGTCTAGACATGAACCAAGGTTGCACTAACAAGTGACTGTCTCCCGTCCGTATATCCGGAGAATCCAATGTCACCACCATGTAAGTCCTTCGCAAGCGCGGTAGTAGACACTGATGGGTATGGGCATTGTGGGCTAGCTACCGGTTGTGATTGAAGTGGACGTGTGTGCCGACCTTGTTTGACAAAACGTGAGTGCCGTTCTTATGTTTGATGTCGTGTTTAGTTAATGCTTTGTGATCTTCGCATATGATGTGTTTAAGTTGTTGTATAGGTTCTCTGTGGGTAATCTAAATTACTCATCCCTCCCCCTTTTTTTTTTCTCTCAGGATAAGAAAGATGGAAGTGTTTGTTTGCTATATCTATTGGTGTGGTTTACTAAAACAGACAATCAAGTGATGGGACCATGGAACAGTTATGGCTCCCTGCCGCTCAAGTTCCCAGTTGGTTGGTTGGACCGGAGGGAGCAAGTGTCACAATTGGTATCAGAGCTTAGGGTGAGATTGTTCCCCTTTGTTTTTTCCTTTAAAGTGTATTTCTGAAAGTTTATGCATGCGAAAAGTTTATAAATGTTTTCAAACCACATATGGTATGCTTACTTAACTTCCATCTAATAGTTTCTTTTCTTTCTTTCTTAGAGTGATGCCGAGAGAAACCGCAAGGAAGCAAGTTCCACCGACGATGTTATCAACGCCATACCACTCGCATGTTGGGATCCATGTGGAGCGTGATTGGCCCAATTGGGTGTGGAAGGGATGCACATTGGAGGGTTGTATTGATGCCGCATGAGCAGCAAGGGCCAAGTCCGCAAGAGCAACCCAAGCGAAAGAGAGGTAGGCTAAGCAAGTACCCTTTACTCGAGGTGGTTCACCAAGTACCGGTAGTGTATTACCGTACGGTTTGGGAACCCATAAAAGTAGTTTAAGGGCTACAGACTTTGCTGGAGTACCACAGTGACTTTGATTTTGCCGTGGAGTCGCTGGGTATTCATGGTAGTGCGGACGAACGAGCCATTCTTTTCCATGAAGGGTTGAAAGGTGAGCTTTGTTTCAATATACCCCACCCTAGGTCAAAGGAAGGTAAGGATCGTGTGAGGTATTTATTAAAGTAAGCTCGCCAAGTGGAGGAAGAGAAACGATCTCAAGAGCATGAGATCAACTACGAGAGTGATCCGTGGGAGTACATGGACACAAACAAAAACGACGAGCCCGAAGCTTCTCGCCATAGGACTGCTTTGAGCTTTCTCCTTTTAGGATTAGGACAATTTGGTTGTATGGTGTAACTAATCATAAAAGAAGAAAGCTCCGCAAGAAGCTTCAGGCTCGTCGTCTTCGTCCATGTCCATGCACTCCAACGGATCACTCTCGTAGTTGGTCTCATGCTCTCGAGATCGTTTCTCTTCCTCCACTTGGCGAGCTTACTTCAAGACATACTTCACACTTTCCTTACCCTCCTTTGACCTAGGGTGGGGTATACTAAAGCTCATCCTTCAAGTCTTCATGGAAAAGCATGACTGGTTTGTCCGCACTACCATAAGTACCAAGCGACTATGCTGCGAATTCCACTACAAGAAATATGGGCATTGATAGCAGACCACGATAGCATATTTTTCGTAAATGCTATAACATGTCAATTCGGGTTTAGATTCACCTTTTCATAGCGCTTACGGTATGCTATGCCCAAAAATTAATAAGCGGGAAAAAAAACTCACTAAGCCGTTCTTTTTTAGTCATGGGCGCCAACACTTAGAAAAATAAAACATGTGTTCGCGGTCATTAGACGAAAAACACTATTGATAGCATTAAAAAAAAACAAATGAACTAAAACAAAAAAAGAAGAACTCTTCGTTTACTCCGTCTTCTCCGTCTTCTCGAAGACGATTGTCGTCGATCTCCTTCTCGCCGTCTCCGCCGCTTCTATTATCTTTTATTTTACAACCCGAATCACTCCGGGCTCTCGAAGCCAAGTTTCGCATCTCCGACCAGCTCTCTTCTCCACTTATCTGACGTCGCGAGCAGAAGTTCTATAGATCTGCATATACACATGAGTTCGAAATCGTCAAATTTAATTTGTAATCTCTTTAATTCCGATTTCAATTGAAACAATCCTGTTACTGTGGTCTTGAATCCAAACTTTTAGTACTGTATTCTCTTATATATATACAGTGTTGAATTCGCCGATAAGATAATGTTCAATTCCATTTTTTTTTTTTTTTTTGTGTTTAACTACTGGGTTTTTGGTCGCAGGTTTATGCTCCAATTTGGATTGCTCCTTCTTCAGAAATAGCTGAAGTTTTCATCATTCCGAACATTTGCTGTCCAGGTTAGAAAATTCTACTGATAGCTTAGCCTCTAAAACATAAATATAGATTGAGTGTATTTGTGATTGACTGTATAGAACCGTAGTTTCATTTTTCTTTGAAGTTTTCAATTGCATTCATTAATTAGTCGTCTATGCACCATGAAACATGTACACTTCTCTGAATTGTGGCAAGGAAACAAAGTAAATTTGTAACAAAATGGTGGACAAGGCTTGGGTGCATTTATGCAGGTATAAACAACATTTTTGTTATTCCGTTTTCTGGTTTTGGACAATATTTTGACCGCTGTCTTTTTCTTGTACTTTTACTTACATGAACTGAAGAGTTGATTCTGCATACGAGAGAGGTGCAAGAGATTTTGTGAATGCAGTTAGTGGGAAAATAGGAGTCAATGGAAAGATAATCTGTCCATGCGCATGCTGCCGCAACTTAGATCGCAAGACATGCAAGGATGTGGTCTCTCATCTAGTTATTAATGGAATGGATGAAGCATACAAGAGACAAGCTGAATGGTTTCACCATGGAGAGGTTAGGTCTGTTTCTGTGCCAGAAGGTGAAGATAGAGTTTGGAACTCTGAGATTCTGGGTTTATACGAAGCTGCACACTGTTTGGATGAAGAATTAGCTAGTAAGAGTTTAGATGTAGGTGAGGTTGCTGAGGGAGAAGACAGAAAAGAAGACGAGTTTTTAGCAAAGCTTGCTGAAGCCGAGATGCCATTGTATCCTACGTGTGTGAGCCACAGCAAGCTATCAGGTATAGTGTCATTGTTCAGGATCAAGACTCAGAACGGGTGGTCAGACAAGAGCTTCAACGACTTGCTTGAGGCGTTGCCAACCATGTTGCCAGAAGACAATGTGATGCATACATCGACATACGACATGAAGAAGTTCCTGAAATCTTTTGATATGGGATATCAAAAGATACATGCCTGTGTGAACGACTGTTGTTTGTTCAGAAAGAAACTCAAGAAAGTCGACACCTGTCCAAAGTGCAAGGCCTCGAGGTGGAAGACTAACCTGCATACTGGTGAAGTAAAGAAGGGTGTTCCACAGAAAGTGCTTAGGTATTTTCCTATAATCCCTCGTCTGAAAAGGATGTTTAGATCAGAAAAGTTGGCCTTGGATTTGAGATGGCATTTCACTGGGAAAAGCACAGACGGGAAATTGCGTCATCCGGTTGACTCGCCTACTTGGTCTTCTGTGGATGCGAAATATCCTTCTTTCGCGGCTGAGCAGAGGAACATGCGGCTTGGCCTTTCTACAGATGGGTTTAATCCCTTCAGCATGAAGAGCAGTAGATACTCCAGTTGGCCAGTTCTATTAGTCAACTACAACATGGCGCCTGACCAATGTATGAGAGAGGAGAACATCATGCTCAGTCTTCTCATACCTGGACCGCATCAACCTGGTAATAGTATAGATGTTTATTTAGAACCCTTGATAGAGGATTTGGTTAAGTTGTGGGATGTAGGTGAGTTAACTTATGATGCTATTAGTAAAACGACTTTCAATCTTAGGGCAATGCTTCTTTGGACAATTAGTGACTTCCCAGCGTATGGGAATCTGGCTGGTTGTAAAGTTAAGGGTAAAATGGGTTGTCCTATTTGTGGTAAGTACACGGATAGCTTGTGGCTGGCTAATAGTAGGAAGCATGTATACATGTGCCATAGGAAAGGGTTGTCTCCGTCACATAGTTTTCGAGTTAAAAAGACATGGTTTGATGGTAAAACAGAACATGGGACAAGGGGAAGGATACTTACGGGTCGAAATGTGTCTTCACTCCTGAAATCTTACAAGAATGATTTTGGGAATAGGAAGGAGAGTGGAAAAAAGAGACAGAGAGCTGCACGTGTTGAAACACATTCTGATAATGAAGATGAAGCAAGCGCATCCGAGGAAGAAGAAGAAGAAGAAGCAAAAGACGAGGAGGGATTATCGAGATGGAAAAAACGATCAATCTTCTTCAGACTGCCTTACTGGGAGGTATGTTACTGCAAAATAAACTTACTTTACTGATTCCATTAATTTGTTTTGAAAAAAAGTATTTCTATTTGATCTGCTTCTTTCGTTGGAACTTACAGGAGCTTCCGGTACGACATAACCTAGATATCATGCATGTGGAAAAGAATGTGGCTGCAAGCTTGATTGCTACTTTGCTACACTGTGGAAATTCGAAAGATGGTCTCAAAGCAAGGAAGGATCTAGAGACTCTTGGAATCAGAAAGGAGCTACATGCAAAAGCTCACGGGAAAAGGACATTGCTACCTGCGGCTCCTTGGTCTTTGTCAAAGTCCGAGAAGAGAACATTTTGTAAGCGGCTTTATGACTTCAAGGGTCCAGACGGGTACTGCTCTAACATATCAAGTTGTGTCTCACTAGACGAGTGTAAGGTGATGGGTCTGAAGTCGCATGATTATCACGTTCTCATGCAGCAGCTGCTACCAGTTGCGGTTAGAGGTTTACTACCTAAGGGTCCAAGGTTGGCAATCTTCAGGCTTTGCGCTTTCTTCAATCTGCTTTGCCAACGTGTGATTGATGTGGAGCAACTACAAGTAATGGAAACTGAAATAGTAGAGACTTTATGCATGTTTGAAAGGTTTTGGCCACCTAGTTTCTTCGACATTATGGTACACTTGTGTGTGCATCTGGGAAGGGAAGCTCGCCTAGGTGGACCTGTCCATTTCAGGTGGATGTATCCATTTGAGAGGTAGTGTTTTATTAATCTTGTATCTAACGGCACTGATGTTTTCACTCTACCAGATCTTAATGTCTGTATTTTCTGTATTTTGTAGGTACATGAAAGTTTTAAAGGATTACGTAAGAAACACAGCAAGACCAGAGGGATGCATAGCCGAGTCCTATTTAGCAGAAGAATGCATGAGGTTCTGCTCAGATTTCTTGAAGAAGACGACGAATGTGGAAGAGAAAGACGAAAGAAACACTGAGTAAGTTTATGTGTTCATACTTCATGCTTTTTGTTCGTATTGAACTCAATCTGACATATGAAATCATTGTTATGTGTAGAGTGTAAACCAGAAAACTCAGAGCAAGTGTATTCTGTTTGACTGGTCTGGCTCTGAGTACAAAGTAGCTGAGGGCCACATTTTGTCTTCTGATCACATGGATTTTGTAAACAATATCCCGTTACGACCAAACTCAGTGAAGGTGGTGGTGGAGACGGCTGTTAAAGGAGATGCATTTCTTTGGAGGCCTGCACAAAATATGTTTAACATTGCTCAGGCAGTAGGTGAAACAATTGCGTGGCCTCAGAATTGTGTTGTTGCTATTGAGGATGAGTTACAACCAGAAGATATCCCTCCTAAGGTAATTTTAAATTTATCATATAGTGTGTGTAGTATAGTATTGACCTGAGATTGATTGTCTTAAATGTTCCTGATATATAGCTTCACCCTGGTAGAGAACAAGATTGATTTTAGGTGTAGTATTGCTATGTATGGGTTATTTTGATAAGAGTTAGTAATATCTTCTGTTCGTGTCGTTTGTTTTACAGAGCCCCAAGCACAACTTCTTTGAATAAATCCAAACTCCTAAACTGGCTATCTAATGATGAAGAACCTGTTGCTGAAGGCCGCTGGCAAACACGTGATCCCAAGGCTTTGGTAAATGGCCTACCTCTAGGACCAAAAGCAATAAAGGTTTTTGTTGATGCGGTTATAGACCCAGATACGTTCCTTTGGAGGCCAACAGAAGAATTTTCATACCTTCACGAGTCTTTGAAGACATTTGTAGCGTGGCCAGTGGGTCGAGTTTTGTTCGATGATCTTAACACAGAGGCAACAGCATCTCCTCGAGCGCAGCCACAATTACTTACTCCACCAGCTCCTGTTAAAAGTTCAAAACCAGCTTCACAGTCTACTATGTCAGGCTCCCCTCAACAGGTATGTTTTCTAATGAGTCACACTTCATATCTGTTGGAGACTGAGTTCCTGAAACTGGCTACGTATTTATTAGCAATTACATTTTTGTTTACATGCTTACCAGATTTCTCCAACACGGCTTGGAAAGGAAGAACGGAAGTGTAAACTGCTGGACATTTCAGGTGATAAGAGGATTGTGGCAGAAGGACGCTGGTCTTCAAATGACCCAGAAGTGTTGGTTCACTTTGTTCCTTTAGGTGATAATGGAGTCCGTGTGTGGGTTGATGTGGTGAAGGTGAACGATGCCCTTGTATGGAGGCTTTCTTCAGCAATTGAGTGTATGGAGGATGCTATTGGAACCACCATTGCTTGGCCTAAAGACAAGATTGTGATGTTCTGATCAAGAGTAAGGTCCAACTTTTGGGATTTGCTTTGTTTGGGAATTAAGACAGTACAATATGTTCCCTTTGGCAGTTCAAACTTAAGTACTATGTTGCAATGTTTCATCGAATCTGGATTTTTATACTATGTAATAAATGTTGAACCTTATCAATCATCTTCTTCAGTTTCAGTGTTAATTTCAGTTTCAGCATCTCGATTTCTAAAACCATATTCACAAATATATACTATTTCTATGGCAAAATTATGCAGCCATTGATTAGCAAACTTGTAGCATAATGTATGAGCTACAGTGTGTATAATAATAACAGGGAACGTAACGCCATGAAAAACTTTGAAATAGCACACGAAAGAAGCTGTCAGAAGTATTGATATAGCACGACACAATCGCTACTATACATGTTTCTATAACAATTCTAAAACGCTGTAAAACGTTAATCAATAACGTCACATGTGTGCCATCTTAGCTACAACAATGACATTTCTAAACAGCTATAATAGACGAGGGCTACGATAGCATCTGACGTGAAACGCTATTATAGATAGGTACTCTATTATAGCGTCGGATATGATAGCGTTTATACAAATGCTATCTAACCCATATGATAGCGTTTTCCGTCTGCTATCAATTCCCATATTTCTTGTAGTGGCAAAGTCCGTAGCCCTTGCAGTACCTTTACGGGTTGCCAAACCGTTTGGTAATCCATTACCGGCATTTGACGAACCACCTCGGGTATCCGCTTGGGTTAATCTGGTAAAGGGTACTTCCTTGGCCTACCCCTCTTCTGCTTGGGTTAAACCCGCTCCCTCCCGTCCAACCAACCAACCGGGAACCTGAGCGGCAGATCCGATTACTCTCTCGCGCCTAAGCCGAGAGCCGTAAGTGTTCCATGGTCCTATCCCTTGGACCGGAGGGAGCAAGTGTCACAACATGCATTAGCCATGCAAGTAGTATATATGACCACGTGATGGTCTTGGATTTCAATAAGTTTGCATTCAACTTTCAAGGTTTGATTTCTAGAGCTACCTCCTTAAGTGCAAGCGTCTGGAGGAACCCTAGCATTTTAACGGATAAATCTGCAAGCTATTATCTTTTCGTTTCCATCGGTTTAATGTAATGTTGAAAAAGAAAAATATAATACCAAAATAAATAGAAAGTCATGCCAAAAATATATTATACCGTACATGTTCTGTCAACATTATATTCCTTGTGAAGACATTTGGCTTGTTGCGTGTTCAATATAAAAATTTAGATGAAAAAACAAAATGTGTTTGAAAATCATGTGGAGGGCATTTGGGTTTGTTTGCAAACTATATAACTGTTTTGCCAAAACTGAAAACATGATTTTCAAGAAAGACTAGTTTGCTAATAAGTTAAAAAGTAAAATAGTATGCGTCCTCACCTTATCTCTTCCTATATAATATATATTACTATAGTCCTTCAGATGCTCTCCAACAACTCTAGTACTCTTGTATTTACTCTAGTCTTTCTCCAGGAAGAAAAATCACAAAAGGAAAGAAAAAATGAGACGAGAAATCCATGGAGCCGATCTTGCTTCTGAAAGTTCACTTCTTGACAAAGAAACTCAAGACTCATCGGCGACAACAACTACTACTACTCTCTTGTTTACCACTTTTGTAGCTGTGTCTGGTTCCTTCGTTTTTGGTTCAGCTGTGAGTTTTTTAATATTCTTTATCAAATCTTTTATCTGTTTCTTTTTCTTAGTAATCTGTTGTATATGTACCGATTGATTCTTAGCTTGGAATTTCGTTTTACATATATTGGCAGATAGGATACTCATCACCCGTTCAGTCCGATTTAACCAATGACTTGAATCTCTCTGTGGCAGAGGTAAACTGGTTTTTTTATTAAGATAATTGCATAAACTGATTTTTTTATTAAGATGTTTTTTTACACGACCAACAACATGAACCATGAGTTTTGGCGAGGTGCAAAAGAATACTCAATATTCCACATGAATATTTATAAAATGTCACACGCAGTACTCGCTCTTCGGTTCAATTCTGACAATTGGGGCAATGATTGGCGCAGCAATGAGTGGCCGAATCGCGGATTTGATAGGAAGACGAGCTGTAACATTTCTAATTTTTTTTAATAAAAATTAAATAATATAATTTTTCATCAATAATCTCATTATTAAGCATTTGTGTGTCTGTGTGTGATTAGACTATGGGTTTCTCGGAGATGTTTTGCATTCTCGGCTGGTTAACTATCTACCTTGCTAAGGTTATCTACTTATCTTAATATTTTTTTTTGCTCTGAGTGATTCATAATATTTTGACAAGAAGCATCTAAAAGAATTGTGGTTTTGTATGTTAAGGTTGCAGTCTGGCTTGACGTTGGAAGATTCTTGGTCGGTTATGGGATGGGTGTTCTTTCGTTTGTGGTAAAACCTATAAACTTTAGTAATTTGGATTATGAATAAGTAGTGGTGATATTAGAAAAATTTGGTAACAGTTTTTGGTGATATATTAAATTTACAAGAACTAATATATATGATGATCTTTATACGTTCTCATTTTTTTTTTCAATTTTTTCTCGTGGAAAACAATGATGGTTAAAGCCTAAAGGTGTCTTGCATTAATAGTTTGTAACTTTGTATGATGAGTGACCTAGTGATTGATTAATAAAGTAATCTTTCATTATTTTTGTTGACGATAAGCAATATGTGGATTTAAATTCGGTAGTGAGGCTGTTACAGCACTAGAACAAACCACGGCACTAGAGTAAATATTCTGGTAGAATCTTTTTAATTTCTTAAGATATATACTTACAATGTATATTAGTCTAGTGGTTTGTTAATATATCAGTCTTATACTGATTTGTTGGTAACTCGAGTTACGATTGCATTGCATCTAACATGCGATGCAAACTATTGGATTATATCAATAATTCTTTGATTTATACCGAATTTGGATTTAGTGTTTGTTATCATATAATCAGGTTCCTGTATACATAGCTGAAATCTCTCCTAAGGATCTTCGAGGTAGTTTTACAACTGTTCATCAGGTAAAAACAAATTATAAAATAACTAAATCATAATTCGTAAATCAAATGAGTATTTAAATAATATTTTCATACATCAAAGTATTAGGTTCACCAAGTCTTATCATATTTTCATAGTTCTAAATAAACGTACAACAATTTGTAAGTTTGCAGTTAATGATATGTTTGGGTGTCTCAGTGACATATCTCTTAGGCTCTTTTGTTGGCTGGCGAATTTTGGCTTTGATCGGTAATATATATAAAACATACTTTAAATCATACAATTTTTTTTCTAAAATGACTAATTCATACTAAAAAATATAACGTTAATTAATGTTTTACTGATACAGGATTGGTACCATGTCTGGTACAAATGATAGGATTATTTATCATCCCAGAATCTCCTAGATGGTTGGTACGTTATCCACTACATATATCAAAATGTCGGCTTAAGTCTAGTTAATTTTATTTGTTTCCTGAAATTAAGCAAGTTATGATTGAATTTGAGTTTGTTATATATATCATTATGCTCTAAGAAGGATTCAAATTTTCAAATATTTTCAGGCAAAAGTTGGCAGATGGGAAGCATTTGAGACTGCATTGCAACGATTACGGGGTGAATCCGCAAATATTTCCTACGAATGTAGTGAAATCAAAGTAAGTAACAATGAATCTTAATTATTACTTGAATTCACATGTTTTTTATTTCCATTTTTACAATCTTCCTTTACAATGCTATTTGTCTTGTATTTTTATTTCAAGGATTATACACAAAGAGTTTCACAATTATCAGAAGGTAGTATAGTAGATCTATTCCAGCCACAATACGCGAAATCTCTAATTGTAAGTTAAATAAGTTTAAGCATGTAAAATTGTTCAATGCCGGTTATTTTCGGTAGTCGATGATGAAATGCCAAGCCAGTTTAGGTTGGAGTTGGTCTAATGGCACTGCAACAATTTGGAGGGGTTAATGGAATCGCCTTTTATGCAAGCTCTATTTTTGCATCTGCTGGTACGTACGTACACCTGCAGTAGTATCATATTAAAAAAGTCAAACTTAACTAATAATAGCGTCTCAACTTTGTTTTCTAGGGTTCTCTTCCAAAATTGGAATGATTGCGATGGTTGTCGTACAAGTAAGTTTTTGGTTATTAATTTGTTTTCATTCTTCGTTACTTTTCAAAAACATTAAAAACTTGAAATTGAATGTTCATGTTTACAAAACAAAATCCTTATGAAGTAGGACCAATGAGTTACGCCTGCTTTAATGTCAATGTCATTACTTCATTAACGTTTGTACTAAATTATCAAATTTGGAGACGTGATCATTTTTAGATATCCTTAGATTTTGAATGCGAGTTAATTTATAGGTGAGTTATTAAGTTCATTTATAGGTCCATGATGTGAGACACTCGGGCATTAAATAACTAGTAAATATAGTTATTCATGGAATGGTTTAATTTTTAGCTTTTTATAGAGGATAACTGTTTGTCTTTCAGATACCGATGACAACTTTAGGCGTAATTTTGATGGATAAATCAGGAAGACGACCTCTACTTCTAGTAAGAATTATGGTTTAACATTTTGATTTTCTATGTTATTCCATTAATACAATCATTCTTATTTTTCTTATAAAAATTATGCTTACAATAATATTTCTTTGTTCATCTCTTCAGATTTCTGCTGCTGGTACATTTATTGGGTGTTTCTTCGTCGGCCTATCATTTTCCTTACAGGTTTTCTCATTCAATTTTTTACCACATAATTTTGATTTCAATATCATTTATCACATACATTCTTGTAGTAGTGACATCTCCTCAAATCAAATACGATTTTCCAATTAATTTGCACGGTTAGATATTTTCGTTCAACCTTTATAAACTAAATTTCAAACATGTTTTACTATATAACCATATCAGGATCTTTTTTTATATGCAACTATGTCATATTTCTCTTTTTCTATTGTTCTCATACTACACTGTATTCGTTTTTTAATTCTCTCATGCAATACTAAAATATTCTCGTTCTACATGACCAAAAAATATAAAACTAAGGATTCATTTGATGTTAATGTTAATAAAAAAATTCTGACGAATTTTCATGCTTCAATATATGTATAAATTTTCATTTTATAAAATTTGGATTAATCATATTTTAGGGTGTAAAGCTGTTGGATGGAAAAACTTCATATCTAGCACTCATTGGCGTTTTGGTAAGTTTGAATTCCAAAACACTGAATCCTATAATAGCTTAAAATTGGAAAACTTCAAAAAATTTATAGAAAATATGTCATTAATCCTTTAGGTATACACTGGATCATTCTCACTAGGGATGGGTGGGATCCCTTGGGTCATTATGTCAGAGGTAAATAATATTCATACAAGTATTTTGGTTTCACACTAAAGTTTTATAGACAAAAGTTTTTTTGTAAAATATAATTCTGTTCAGGTTCATTGGAACTGAGATATTCAAAATTCATTTTGTGTCAAGGTATTTCCTATAGATATAAAAGGATCAGCAGGAAGTCTTGTAACTGTTATTAGTTGGGTTGGATCATGGATTATTTCATTTGCATTCAACTTCCTAATGAATTGGAGTCCTTCAGGTATACGTCTTGTTCGAGTTTTACTTCTTTCTATCAATCAATATCTCTCTCTTTATCTATATGTGAAATGGGTTTTCAATTTTGTTCAGAAACATTTTATGGTTTTGCTACAGTTTGTGGGGCCACTGTTATTTTTGTAGCAAAACTCGTACCAGAAACAAAAGGTCGAACACTTGAGGATATTCAATCATCGATTGGTATGTGACATTGTAATGTATATGTAGTGGATTACGAAGGTCATCAATCTCTAACCAACACGGTTTCAATATGAGATTTTGCATCTTTTTGTTGGACATGACATTATAACAAATGTATTATGAGTGGTGGAGAATATAGCATTTTCTTTATAATTATGCTAACATAACATGTTGACAAGTTCTAAACTGATTCTATCGGATGAGATTTGTTGCTATAAAATTTAAAACTGTAAAATAATCACGTTTTGTTCATTGTTTCAGCGATGTTACGATATATAAGTTGGAAAATATGTTTAATATGGTAAGATTTTTAATAATTTATGTAGAATAATTATATATAGCCAAACACATGGTTTTAATTTGTCTAATCTTCTTAGATGTAAAAGAATCAGTCAAAACCAATGAAGTCAAAGTGTAAAGCTAATCTGACATGGGACCCATCTTACGTTCTCTTCTAATCTCTACAGCTCATACTAATTATCAAGAATCACATCTTTGATTGATACAGTAATCCCTGATTACTCTCCCTTAATATTGTCAACTATTCAATCACAATTTATTCTCACTAATCGTCATATCCGTGTGAACAGTATATATGCTCGATGGCACCTCTATTCACCAAGCAAAACACCGCTTCTTTTGATCATCTCATTCCCACTTTTTTAATTTCGTTTTACTATTAAAAGATAAAATTAATTATTCATCAATCATCACAATAATACAACAAAAGGAGGTATTTAACAAAATGATCTTCTACAAAACAAGCCTTTGCTCATTCATTGGCCACACCGATACCAAAGCGAATAAGCGATGCCGTTTAAAGTTGACGAGATCTGCTACGGACGCGTGGACCACTGCATATCACCGGGTACGTTTCATCGGAGAAAAATAATATAGAAGAGGCAACTGGTTTAATGTTGTGCACAGAGTCTCTAGGGTTTGAGAGTTATGACATGAGGATGTCTAAAAACGAGGTGGAGGATAAGATGACGTGTCAGGCAGAGGAGGAAAACCAAAGGGGAGGAAGAGGGAAGAGAATGTAGTGGTGCCTGTGCGAGAGGAGAAGAGAGTGTTTCCTCCGCCGCTCTCGTCATTGAACGGCCAAGGACAACGATCTTTTTTGTAACGCCCCCGCCGCCCTCCCGGTGAGTCACCCACCCCTGTCCACGGTCGGTGCATTATTTTTGGGAGGCTCGGAGAATGTATTTACTATCCCTGCAATCATCACCCGACCTTTTCCCGTGTTTTTTCCTAACTCACACAGTTTCGCAGAGGACTTCCCGAAAGGTCACCCATCCTTCCACTACTCCAGCCCAAGCACGCTTAACTCTGGAGTTCTTTATGGGCCCTTGACCGAAAAGGTAAGTGCACTTTGATGACATAGGTAGCCAAATTAATTCTCTTATTCCTCTCCTCATTCTTTTAACCTCTTCTCATTTATTACAAATCGGGATGTTACAATTCACCCCGACTCAATGAGCGCAACGTCCCCTTGCGTACCAAGATCGTCACCCCCTGACGGTTAACAGTGTGAGCCCACTCGTCTCCACACATACGTCTGGGTTCGGCTCTGATACCAATTGTAACGCCCCCGCCGCCCCTCCCGGTGAGTCACCCACGCCCTCTCTCGGCCCGTGGGCCCCACCCCTGTCCGACGGTCGGTGCGTTATTTTTGGGAGGCTCCGAGAATGTATTTACTATCCCTGCAATCATCACCCGACCTTTTCCCGTGTTTTTTCCTAACTCACACGGTTTCGCAGAGGACTTCCCGAAAGGTCACCCATCCTTCCACTACTCCAGCCCAAGCACGCTTAACTCTGGAGTTCTTTATGGGCCCTTGACCGAAAAGGTAAGTGCACTTTGATGACATAGGTAGCCAAATTAATTCTCTTATTCCTTCTCATTTATTACAAATCGGGATGTTACATTTTTATTTCTGGCCAGTGAGGAAAGATGGCAGATTGGAACTTACACAAGTTATGATAGATCGGACGGATATTTTCCACGCTTCACGAGAAGATGAACGGCTGAGATTACATCTTGTTGATGCTTATTGTGATTCCAAAGAAAATGTGGACTTAGAAGACGAACCTAAGGGTCTAGATTGGCCTCACTTGGAATCTGTTTTTGAGATTAGTGAAGATAATGCTGATGAAACAAGTGACAAAGTGGTGAATTTATCTATGATCAATGATGATAGTGGTGCAATAAACTGGAGATATAAAACTAGTCATGATGTTTCGTTGAATAGTGATGATTATGTTGTACATTTCGATGATGAACATGATGTTACTTGTGAGGGAATGGAGGTACGAGAATTGTTGTAAGAGGAGGAACCTTGATGAGAAGAACAATTATCATCATCATCTTATTCATCCCATTTCATCATTATAATAGTAAAAATAACATACAATTATGGAGCCGGGTCGTACGTGAAGACCAGTAAAAATAACATAAAATAACATACATTTTATCAATGTTTTACGTGGCGGCTTGAAAATGAAGACAAAAGGAGGGACAGCTATTTTTCCTTTGGAAGCTTTGTTGTATGTTTACATAATAGTATTCTTTTATTTGACGGCTATGTTTAACTATTATTCGAAAGTCAAAATGGATATAATATAAGGATTATGTTGTAAGTTTGAAAAGGTGTGTACTCTACAACACGCTTCAAATTCTGGAAGTTCAACGATATGTATGCGTGTAAGGTGATGATTTATTTTCTCGCTATTATCCGCAGACGTAAATATAGTGATTGGTAGCGGTTACTAACATTTTATAATAATCACAACAATTGCTCTGAATTGTTTAATACTATTATATACTATTCTATACCATTGGAAATCAAAAGCTCTTTTCCGCAAGTGTTTGCTGTTGCGGACGGTTGCATATTGAAAAAAAAAAATCATAATATCTCCAAATTTGAAAAATCAAACTATGTTAATTTCCAAATTTGAAATTTGTGAATAATTTAATTAAAACAAAGTTTAATTAATAAAAAATTTAAATAATAAAAACAAAAGATTATGATTTGATTTTGATGTTTTTCATTTTATAATAATAAACATTTTTATTCCTAATTATCAGCTAAAATATTTTGTATTCTTATTTTTGTGGCTTTATATTATGGTCAATGTTTATCAATAATAGATTATGTGTGATATTAAAGTTGTTTATATAAAATTCTAAAATAATTAAATTTGTTGAAGATAAATTTTAAAATTTTCTCTATATTTATCAAATTTTTAACTCTAAATTTTAAATAACTGAACAAAAATAAAATAATATCATTTTTTTTTGTCAACGGTTTTTCTTTAAGCTTAAAACTTCATACACCACAAAGAGGGAATTAAACATCCCCTTAAAACATTACAATAAAACATGAAAGTAAAAGAAATTACACCAGATAAATTTCCAAGATAGATTGACAGCAAAATGGAGAATAAACTAGCTTGCGTCAAGTTGATCATCACGGCAATGCCGAAAGATCGAGAGATAGTCACTGTGCCATGTGACTTTAAGAGATTACATGGACAAGAGTCATGAATACAAAGGCAAAGCCCATGAATACAAGGGTTAAGCCCAGGAAAGGTACAAGGGTCTAGCCCAGGAAAATTACAAGGGCCCAACCAAGAAATGATGAAGAAACAGCTAACCCTAAGAGCATATGCATTGGTAAACCCCATATGGAGCTCTTTAGCAATTTTTAATAATAAAAATATTATTATTTTAAGTTAATAGTTTTGTACTTATTTTCTTAGTTTTGACATCCACATTAGAGAGCTCCTATGGAGTTCTTTAAAATAAAAACAGTTTTCACTTGATCATTATCTACACATAGACAATAGACAATCTACAATCTTCTTGGACCAAGGTTTGATTGAGCTCCCACGGACTTGCTTCATTACAGAATTTAAAGAAGGAACGCTGTGAGAGCCTCTCTGTTCACATTCCTCTCCCTGTCATTCTCCACCATCTATTTACACCATATACAAACTCCACTTAGTTAAAACCCCCACTGATATTTCGTGCAAGGCAAAGACTATACAATAGGGTTCTTTAAAAATCCCAAAAGCAATTGGAAATTTGCAACAAAATTGCTGCGAAGCAGATATCGGAAAGTAGTAGAAACTCATCACCTTCAGCTTCATATTTTTCCAATAGTTCAGCAAACTTCTTTGCGTCCAACTCCATCTTAGCCTAACACAGTTTATTACGACATATGACTATAGACCAACACAAACTTATTTACTGTCTTGTTTATCTTGCTTATAATCTCCTTTCTTGCCTGAACAAGAAACAAACGAGTCTCAACAAACCTGTTCCAAAGAGAACAAATCGACCTTTGATGTGAATCATTACCTTCATTGCTTTGTGGTACGTAAAACCAGGTAAGTTGATAGGAACAGAGAGACATCCATCAACAAAATCAGAGAAAAGCCGAGACATTTCATCGACTTCTGACTCGCTCGACACTCCAAGAAGTTGGTTAACCATAAGATGAATCGCAACCTGAAAGAATAGAACTAAACAAATATCAGACGAGGGAGAAGGAGAAGAAACAGAGCTTCAGGTGCACTGAGACCACTGCTCCCACCGCTCAAAACCAGATTCCGAGGGTTAGCGAAAGAGCTGCAGCAATACACGGGACTGAGAGCACGATCAGATTCTTAAATTGACATCAATAAATTGACCACATGCAATTTTAGGGGATGTGTTTTACTCTAAGCAGACACCTAAAACCCAAATCCAGGCTTACATTCGACTGGAAGAAGGAAAGCTACATTGGGTAGGCCCGAGAATTGGAGAGACAGCTCCAATTGACGAGAATCGTCGCCGACTCAATGCCAGATAAAATTGAAGAGGGAGAAGGAGGAGAAGAAGAAGAAGAAGAAGAAGAAAGTGGAACAAGAAGGAATCTGAGATCGAAGAGGAAGGATTTGAGCAGAAGTTGAGATCGGAGAAGAAGACGATGAAAAGATTTCGATGAACAAAAAGAAAAAAAATATACAAAAAGAGAAAAAGAAATTTGTGGCGGGGCATTCTTCTGCTGACACGTGTAGAGTAGAGACGATTCTACAGCTTCCTCCGGGAGAGACGGTTCAGTGCTTCGAGCTTGACACATTGATAATGTTTTATTTTTTTCTTTATTTTTGGGCTCCAGAACCCCCTTTGGGTATGTCCAATGTGGTTGCTCTAATGGGCCAGAAGGACAATACGGCCCAAACCAGTGCTCCGACAGGAACAAAGGTGGTGATGGCGGCCGATCTCCAGAAACCTCCGTCGGAGGAGAACCTAATCACTGTAATCAGCCAGGCTAACCAAATAGCAATCTGGACTAAGGAATAGTATTGATCTACGCCTGAAATCACGTCGGAGCAGAAGAGTCCGACGAGCATAGTCAAATAACGTTGGAGATTCAGCAAATCGAAGTACAGAAATCCATCTCCAAATAGCTCCGACGTTTTTGCATTCATCGTTCAAGCAAAAGACAACTACGAGTCTACAATGTTGGTGTTCCTCCTAGTGGGGAAACACCATTGGGCTTGGTTAGTAGGAACCAAGCTATTGGGCCATATGCTAATTCATGAGATTAGTAGTGGGCTTAGGGTTAAGAGTAACCATATAAATATTCTTAACTTAATTCATGTGGAATGACATACAAGAAAGAGAGGCACTTCTTGAGAGGCAAAGAAGAGAAAAACACTTTCGTCTGATTTTGTAAAAACAACGTTTGGAGGTTCGATAGTGCTCCGATTTGGCTGAAACTTTTGTGAGAGCTTCGTGACTCATCGATCTTGAGATTCACCGGAGGGATTTGCGTTCTGACGGTTGGTTCGAGAGTTATTTGGGTTTTAGCGGGCTATTCGCTACTGTAGCGAGTTCTGGTTTTCAGCAGGTTCTGTCTTGAGTGTTTGGAAAATCCGACGGTGAGTTCTTCTCTGATTGAGCTGAAATTTGGCAGAGGTATTCTTGACTTGTTCATCTTGGATTTGTACGGTGGGATCTTCTCTTGGTGGCTGGAATCCTAGTGAACTGAAGGTCGTTTGTGACTGTCTATTTCTGAGCTCTTGTAGTGCCTTTATATTGCTCTCTTGTTGAGTTTCTTGTTGAGGAGATTGCTCTTTGTAGCCTGAGTCTCTGGATCTGTTCTGTGGGAACAGGGAGGACGTGGTTGTAACTTATATTCATTTCATATAGTGGATTTTGAGTGGACTACGGTCCCGTGGTTTTTACTCCTCACATCGAGGGGGTTTTCCACGTAAAAATTTGCTGTCTCATTTACTTTCAGCTTTGCCATATTCTGCCATTGTCGAAATATTTTTTCTCACAGGTTCACACAAGTGCTTCGCTGCGGCGGTGTTGCGTGTTATTGACCGTTTTTCCCAACAAAGTGGTATCAGAGCTTTGGGTTATTGGCTTGCTTGTGTGAAAGATGGAAAATATGGGCAGAATGATAAGCTTGAATGGTGCTAATTATCATCTGTGGAAAGGCAAGATGGAGGATTTGCTTTTCGTGAAGGAATTCCATATTCCGGTATTTCAAGAGAAGAAGCCTGAGAAGAAAACTGATGAAGAATGGATCTTGATGCATCGCCAAGTCTGTGGTCTGATAAGGCAGTGGGTTGATGATAATGTTTTGCATCATATTGAAAATGAGGTTAATGCTCGTTCTTTGTGGTTGAAGCTGGAGCAGCTGTATGCTCGGAAGACCGGGAACAATAAAATGTACATGATCAAAAAGTTGATTGAGCTCAGATATCAGGAGGGAACTCCGATGACAGATCACTTGAATGAGTTTCAGGGATTGCTCAACAAGCTTTGTGATATGGGCATCAAGTTTGATGATGAGATTCACGGTTTGTGGCTTCTTGGTACATTACCAGATTCTTGGGAGGTGTTCAGGATGTCTCTTTGTAACTCTGCATCGGAAGGTACCATTTCGATGGACTTAGTGAAGAACAGTGTTTTGAATGAGGAAGCAAGAAGGCAGTCAAATGCTAGTTCTTCGCGTTCAGATGTTCTGGTTTCTGAGTCAAGGGGGAGGAGTACATACAGAGAG